CATCACCTTACGTTCTATATATTCATACAACCATGACCTTCACCTTACGTCTTCTATTTTCACACAACCTTGACCTTCACCTTAGTCTTCTATCTTCACACAACCATGACCATCATCTTACTTCCTTTATCTTGACACAACCATGACCGTCACCTTATGTCCTCTATCTTCACACAACCATGACCTTCACCTTACGTCCTCTATCATCACACACCACGACCTTCACCTTACGTCCTCTATATTCACACAACCATGACCTTCACCTTACGTCCTCTTTCTTTACACACCACAACCTTCACCTTATGTCCTCTATATTCACACAACCATGACCATCACCTTAAATCCTATATCTTCATACAACCATGACCTTCACCCTACGTCTTCTATCTTCACACAACCTTGTCCGTCACCTTACGTCATTTTTCTTCATACAACCATGACCTTCACACTTCGTCTTCTATCTTCATACAACCTTGACCTTCACCTTACTTCTTCTATCTTCACACAACCATAACCTTCACCTTACGTCCTCTATTTTCACGCAACCATGACCTTTACCTAACCTCCCCTATCTTCTCACAACCATGACCTTGACCTTACGTCCTCTATCTTCACACAACCATGACCTTCACCTTACGCCTTCTATTTTCACACAACCATGACCTTCATATTACCTTCTCTATTTTCACACAACCATGACCTTCACCTTACCTCCTCTATCTTCACACAACCATGACCTTCACCTTACGTCCTCTATCTTCACACAACCATGACCTTCACCTTACCTCCTCTATTCTCACACATCACAACCATCACCGTATGTCCTCTATCTTCCCACACCACAACATTCACCTTACGTCCTCTATCTTCACACAATCATAACCTTTACGTTATTTTGTCTGTCTTCTTCTTTACTAGGTACTTCCCTCGATCTTTTCTTATAACATGACCAGTAGTGTCGGCTTCCTATAGCTACTAAACTGTAAGATAATCGGGACCATTTTGATTCATTTTGTTGTTGACGTTCCTATTTTTGACATTAAGTTGCTTTCTTCTCAGCCTGTAATGTTTATTTAGTGATCGAAAATGCATAATTCCCCTGTTATGTCGACTGCTGCAGAGTTGTTGAAGACCAGGAAGAAGCTTTATGGTCCCTTTTATGGTTTTACGTGAAATGTGTTGGTCGATGGTTTTTTCGTTATGTTCCTTAATGTGTCATTTGGTTTTATTTTCCCCTCCCCGGTTATCGGTACGAGGACGTGACATTGCAAGAGTGTTACCATGTGTGACCTAAATTTACATGGCAGGTGTTGTCGTTGAAACAGAAAACGCTTACCCTTCCGAAACATCTGGGTCCGTATTCATAAAACAGTCCTCGTGCTCAAACTGTGTTTGAACTAACTTTCTAAACATGTCTAATTCAAGTGAAACGATTAAAAATACAAGTTTAATCACTGAAAACGTGTTCGGTTTCGAGTATCGCTACATTTCTCTGCAAATCAGGACAGGGTAATCGGCTTGAACACAGACTCTGAGAGCATGAGAACGGTTTCGTTAATACGACCCCTGTGTTATTCACCTTGTATTTTCAAAGCTCTACGTGCGAATATTTCCTTTGTTCATACTTTGTCTTGGTTATCGATTTTTAGTTCGAATGACGGTTTTGTTAACGATTCGCTATTCCATCTTTTTTCACCCACAACAATGACCTTCAACTTACATCTTCACTCATGTATTCACCGTTATGTAAAAAAAAAATGCAAATTACATCGTTATATTCCAAAATTACATTTGACACCAGTATTCTGGGAAAATAATTGACAGAAATTCTACAGCTCTACGAAAATTCCCTGTTTCTACCAGGCTCTACATAACTCTCCTCTCCAATGATAAAAAAGAGGGTTTCATCCGTAAAAAAAAGCAGCTGATACTTTCTCGTCACAACTACAACTGAGGGGGGAATTCATACCGAGCCCTTCGAATGACCTTAAGATATTTATAGTTGGGAAAGTACAAATTGGTTGTCAAACTGATAAATTCATACAACTGAAAGTCTTTGACAATAAATTAAATCCTATTAGAAAATGATATAAACCTTTAGTCTTTAAAAAAGTGCTTTCATTTAAGACAATATTGCAGCAGGAGTGACTGTGTCCATGAGACCCCGTTCCCTCCAATAGTTATTCATTTTACCAATATAGGTCTTGTATCAGTAAAACTTCGATATTTTGTAGTAGTGATGGAGTGGTCTCCCTTGCACTTTTCCCCTGAGCAACGAAGAGAAATAACTCTCCGAAGTGAGTCTCATTTACACGGATACATTCTGGGTTGCGAATAGAGGCGAGTTACTCATGTTTAGCTTTGGTATTTTAATATAGCTTTATCTCTAGCGTCTGGGGTTCCTCCTTTCAAAATTGCTGAATCCCCAGCCTAATCTCACTTGATTAATATCGCAATGCAATCTTTAATATAATCGACTATTATAATGTCAATTCATGTAGTATGGCGTAACAAGCATGTGCAAATGTTACTAATTATCATTGCTAGACAATATACACATGTACGTGTTTCTTAGCAACAGTATCTTCAAGATATACATGGAAACAACAACATCTACACGTCTTTCTGCTCTTAGGAAATCATTCACCTGTAAATTCTCGCCTTATGACTTTAAATGGATCAAGGTCATTTGGTTGGACAAACTTTTTAATCCATTATTATTGAACAAATATCTTCTATTCCTTAATTGAAAAAAAAGTATTATATGTACGACATTTAAACAAACAGGAAAAAATGGATTGCTATTCAACTCGGTATGCTGCCAGATAAAATTGATCGTAACTGTCCAGACCAGTCATCATAAAAACATGTACCTCAGAATTAGCTCTCTGCCTGAGAAGCTAAGTATATAATAGTATTTTACTCCAGCAAGATGGAAGACAAACATGATAATCTTTTACCCGATACACAGGTACACCTGTACGTACGTGTCAACCATTATAGATGACGACCTGGCCACAGTTGCTTGTTTGAAAGTTAATTAACCAGTGTTTAGAGAAAAATTCAAATTTATGCTAGTAAGAAACGAGGGCGTTTAAAGCAAGAACAATAAATCTGTATTCATTTGTTTAATTTGCCCTCTAACCGACTTTTGACTGGAGCAACTGGGGCCTGATTGCCGTGCTGATTGTAGCCGTTTATTGCTTTGGGAAAGTAAATATAACCATATGATGGTTATGATTTCCTGTGCTTAGCTTTTTCTAGCAGTTTATAGAGTCTGTAGAGAACCCGGACATTTCTGAAACTTGCTGTCCATATCATTCTGATTAAGCGATTTTTTCCAAAAGAACCCTTTGTATCCGTGTATTTTGATGTATGATAGAATGTAATTCATATGATGTACTCTCGAGTAAAATTTTCACATTAGTGTCTGGATCCTCGACGATCTCTTATATCTATTGGAACATCTGCTTTTGTCACATTTTATGTACAGTTATGTTTAAAGTTATCCAATGGCCTGCCAGAATCCACCCCCTTATGTTAAAACAGTCATCCCATGGCCTGCCAGAATCCGCGGTCGTTGGTCCACAGCCTAAGTATCTCCCTTATATATGGTGCAGTCCAATATATTTGAACTGTTTAACAAGCCGTATGGTGGGCTGTAGCAAGAGTTGTATCTGTCAATATTTTCAGGTTCCTGTTGCAAAGTAGTACAAAAGTAAGGGTTTTGGCGCAGTGCACTCCCCTCATTCCAGCATGTTACTGGCCAACTATCATTATTCTAGGTCTCTTGGTTATTCAGAAGAAGTTGTTTAAAGGTTTTAAACATATTTGACCCCTGTGATCTTGAAAAATGATGGTCATTTATTTGAACAAACTTGGTAGCCCTTCATCCCAGCATGTAAATGGCAAAATTTCAGCACCATAGGCCTCTCGGTTATTCAGAAGAAGTTGTGTAAAGGTTTTAAACATATTTGACCCCTGTGATCTTGAATATAAGTCAAGGTCATTTATTTGAACCAACTTGGTAGCCTTTCACCACAGCATGTTACTGGCTAAATATCATCACCCTAGGTCTCTTAGTTATTCTGAAGTTGCCTAAAAAAATTAACATATTTGACCCCTGTGACCTTGAAAATTGATGAAGGTCATTTATTTGAACAAACTTGGTAGCCCTTCATCCAGCATGCTTTTGGCCAAATATCATCACCCTAGGCCTTTTGGTTACTGAGAAAAAGTTGACGCTGGACGACGCACCATGCCATAAGCTCACTTGGCCCTGTTGTAAAGTTGTTCCGTCAGTATTCGACATCTACCCCTTGGTATAAAGGGGTCCAGAAAATGTATGTTTCGACTATCCCCAGGGCGCCAACACTGCTCAAAAATATTCATGATTAACTAGGCAAATTATCAGCCAGACACCATCATACTCGTATCACATCCTTAGCATTTTAAAGGTTTTCACAAAGTGATCTCGCAAAACGACTTGTTTTTTCTAGTTTTAAAAATCCCATATAAACGAGTTACATGTATAAAAATTGATGCAACTATTGATACGAATGTTAATATCCACAACTTACCTACATTATGAAACTTTCAAGAATTCGTTTTTGGTCTATTCCATACACATGTGGGGCAAGGATACTGGTTGTATACAAGGACCTTGCCTACATACAAGTTATTGCACTTTACTATTTAGTCCCATGTCCACCGAATTACCCATTTAATCAGGCGTATTTTCTACTTCATAAAGCCATTGTATTTATTATTACACTTACAAGTTCCTTTAATTTAGGTCAGTCATTTATCTATGGAAGTAATAAGAAAACCAATATTTTATCATGTCTAGTTTTTAAGTTCTATTCCGACAAGAACCATGTTCCTTTTTTCTTGAATCAATGTCATCCTGTTTTCATATGTTGTGTGTTAAGTTATTAGTAACCCTGGCTACATGTACATTCAACATTGTGGTTTATGTGCATCAAGAAACAAACTCTGTACAGGTTGAAGTACTTTTTATTAACACCACTGCGACCAAAATTACTACAATTTCTGTAATGAAGATCAAAGAAATTTCAAGAAAGATAATTAAATTTCAATGATGGAATCATTATGTGTAACAAGTGTATCTTTACAATTTGAAGCATATAAGCACTCACTAGCACAAAATTACAATCATCTGTATTATTTGTCTCTTTCTAATTACAGCACAAATCTGTTTACAACACCAGTACATGTTGCGATATACTTGGCCGATCCCAAACATAATGATTTGATTTGTATGTACAAGTTACCAATTATGATAAGTCACATGCAATATTTAACCCCAAAAATGACTTTTACAGCAGTTCTACAAATGACATACATGATCTGAAATGTGAAATGCCCTATGCAGTTCCACCGACACCTTTTTAACAGTCTGTGTCCAATAAATATCACATTCTCATGAGTTCTAATCCACCTGGTCATTCACATCAAATGTTCCATCACAGTAAATGTAAGAAGGCCTCCTTCAGAAAAAATCAAAACAAAAAATATCCAGTTGGAAAATAAAATAATGCAGTAACTTGTTCCATGTACAAATATAAATATGTATATATATTAAGATAGCGTACATTGGTGAGAGATGTTCCTCGCACTACCTTGTGTACTAAGGGGGATGTATACAAGGAATAATAAAATAAACTCTAGAATGTTTAAATGGCATCAATATCGATCTCTGGACCAGTGTCAACAGGGGCAGCAGGTGCCTCCTCCTTCTGCTGCCCAACCCTTCCAGTGGTTGAATAGACAACCTGCAATCAAAACAAAAGATTTTAATTTTGTGATGAATTGGTAAATAAGCAATAGCAATCCAATTTATTTCTATTTTGATATTATTGTCAAACTTGTCTCCAGTCAAATACACATTGCTTATAGAGATCATAATTCTACATTCCTAACCAAGCATGAAAAAGTTTGTGTGTTCACAATAAATAAAGAAGTAAACATACAGCACTTGATAAGGTGCCCTATCTGGCTAACATGAGCCACTCTAAAGCGCTTTGACCCACACAAGTAATCACAACATACCTCAATATTCTCATCTTCTTCTTCACTTTCGCTTTCCTCCTCCTCGGCTTCCTTCAGCCATTTAATAAAAGGTGAAGCTTTCTCGTGAATTTCCTGAACCACTTTCTTGTCCTGTACATACTTCTTGGAAACCTGTCAATCATTCAAAATAGTTTTATACTTAACTGTCAATATGCTGCAGTAGTACAAGTGATATACATGCCACAAGGACTCAAAAACAAGTACAGAATACCTATCTTACCCATCTCCTTAAATCATTATACTTGATAAAGTTGTGTAAAAGGTTATCTTCCAAAATGTTGCATTTCCCACTTAAAAGTGAAACTCTATACTATCAGATACAATGCACACGTTATTCAGATTTTGAAAACGGTTAGAAATAACGACATTCCCCCAATAGCTGGTATTCAGTTCACCAATATTTATATTCTCACAAGTTATTAATTCTCAAGTCTCTGCAGTAGAAACAATTTAAAATCTTGCATATTACAAAATTAAGTCGATAAAAGATACAAATTGTAATGAATTATCTTTATTTGTATGCAACATGACCATTGATTTAAACTGATGATTACCTTCTTATCCCAGTCTAGGATGATTTCCTCCTCTAGGATATCGGAGTCGTACAGGGCCTTCAGAATGTGTGGCATTTTAGGAAGCAGCAAGTCAGCATGCACTTTTCCCACCAATTGCTCCAGACCTCCCAGTAAGTATTTTTGTGCCTTGTGGTTCTCGTGGCAAAACTACAAATCAATTAAATATAAATCTATTAAATAATGCATACAAGAAATGCCAGCTTTTCATGTTAAAAATTACAAAAAAGAAATCATGCTTTTTATAAAAAATACAACACTTCTCATGACAAGACAATGAATCACAATACAGAACTGAAGACCAGATTCTCACAACTTTAAAAAAAAAAAGAAGTAATGTATAATTCCATGTAAACATCTTGGTACGTGTACACTTTTTACAGAATCTGTGGGTTGTTTCCAAAAATAGACTGAACTGAATGAAGAGTAGCCAGGTTAGTGTTCCTACCCTCAAGAAAAGACGGCGATGCTGTTTGATCTGAGAGAGAATCTTTGTGTCCAACAGCACCTCCACTAGAATCAGAACTCCCTTATCCTTCACTTCAAGCCTCTCTGCCTCTGCAACAATGTCCTTTTCTACAGCAGCCATGTTGTTGCTGTCACATTTGGACTACAAAAGAAGGAAACATTATATGTTTTGATTGAAATCGTGATATAATTTAATACATGTTTATTTAACAGTTTGAGACTTTGGGATCTTGGGGGAGGTGAGAACATCTACAAAAAGGTTTGTTATTTTCAACAAAGCTAAAACATTAATTATTATATGTAGTTATTGATTTTTTTCTTAACATAAAAACACCACTTGCAACACATGAGGTACAAAATGTCATTGGGTCAGAAAAGGACATAGAATTCTGTAGGGGGATCCAAATGATATTTCATCATATCCTGATCTCCCATCAATGACTTTCCTTCAATAAGAACTTTCAATAAATATATTCAGATGTTAAACTTACTTTCACATACTGATAAAACATTTCCAGTCTATCATCTTGAGATTTTTCCAGGTCATCCGACAAGGCCATTATCTTTGCAGCATCACTGAGTTCTTCCATTCTCTGCTTTATGGCATCAGCTGTTATCTCTTCATCTGGAATCCAGTCCTCTCCATCGTCATCTTGATTATCCTGGGGATATTGGAAATATGTTATTTAAATTGGCTCATTAGAATAGAGTTTAAGTATAACATATTTTTTAAATTGGCAATTTGGATTTCTGATTGGCTCACAAATAACATTTTATCAGTACCCTAAGTTTCAGTCAAACCATTATAATTTAAGTTCAAGCTTTAAACATTTTTTTTCAAGATGGAAGGTAAGGAGGCCATATTGGATTTCTGATTAGTCCAAAAAATGTCACTTTGTCAGGACCATTCGTAGATCATCTCTACACATTATCAGTTTGCCAGTCAATTTTTAAAATTTAAAACTTTAGATAGGTCTTCATATGGCCAATACATTTAGTTATAATCATTAATATTTCGATCAGGTATCTATGAAATCCCTTTAGTAATATTTAAATTTGAATTGAAATGGCAAAATATAAATGCATTATTATTCGATGACTATGGACAAAAAAATAGGACTGCAATAAATCATTTGACCCTTCTGATCATGATCAGGATCCCTAAAACTTGAAAAATGGTACTCACAACTTCAGGTGGGGCATCCACTACTCCACCACTGGCACGCTGAGCAGCCATCTGTTCCTGAGCATTTGCCTCAGGACTAGCACGATCTTTCTCGTCAGCATCCCCATTTACATGCTTCTTGTTGGATTTCTCCTTCTTGCTTTTCTTACCACCTTTGGTTGGAGTAGCAGCTGATGGATCCTACAGTTATAAATTATTTTTTATGTTATTTATATACAATTATGTATCTGACAAACGCATCAAAATTCATTGAAATATATATTTGTCTTTGAAAAATAACTATAACGAAAATTGTCCTCCAAGATTAGTTAATAAATTCAACAAAATACTAATGTCTTCAAATAGGCCATCACATGAATACCTGGTAACATAAAAAATTCACAAGCCAGTGAAGTATCTTATCGAGCTAAGGAGATGCCCTTGCAATTTCATTATCAAGTTAAATTACCTGAAACGAAACAAAAGATTTTATAAATTGATAAAATGTTAGCTGTACAACATACAAAATCTGGAGGGTTCTTCAAGATAAATGTGGTCAGTTTATGCCTCATGTCAACTTGGCCTGAATAACCACATGCAATGCATCGCTGGGCAATAGTCGTCTTCTTCACAGTCTGCAACAAAAATCAACAGTGCAACATAAGCATTGTTTGAATCCACATGAATTAATATGGGCTTATGAACAAAAATGGTAAAAAAAATAAGACTAAAATGTTAAAACATTTTTTATGAGAAAAATATCAAGTTGGCATTTCACTAAAATGTTTAAAAAGGGTGAAACCAGCCAAAAGGCTAAATATGTCCCTCTGTTAATGCTTGGCAAGCACAAATTTCTACAATTCATCGTTTTGTTGAAAACTTACTTTCTTTAATGAGCATTGTTATATGTATACAGCTTTTTCCGACTTAAAATAACCATTAATGAAAACTCTTGCCATTTATCTTTCATTAAAATGTTTTTTTAAGAGAACCCCAAAAACTGCTCTAACGACGGTACTATTGAGCATTCACTATTCAGCAGAGTATGCCTATCAGTGTGTATCAATTGTTCCAGTATCTATCAAATTACATCTCTAACTTCACTACACAACCTAAATGGCCTATGCTCATTCTACATAATTTCCCCTGAAATACTTACAAATTTAGTTTCTGGATTGGAACATTCTGGACAAAGCACAAATCTTTTAATGAAGCCATCTAGAAGTGACTGAAGCTTTTGGGCATCATGTGAACCGTTTACAATGTATCGCTCATTCTTATGATCAAATTGAGTTTGAGCTCCAAGTTCACAGCCAAAATATTTGGTGGGATCTGGAAAACAAATAACAGCATCATATAAATTCATTAGTGAGAGTTTTTCAAGATATTCATCTTTTATTATCTGATATTTGATTTAGAGTCAATTAGTCAAATAAAAGTTAATGAACATACCTGCTCTTGTCATGTTAAAACCTTGTACCTAACACAAGTTTGTTTTTATCAGTAATAACACTTACATGTTGGTGGCCGATCCAATGCTTTGGCGACCTCAACCATATTAACAATGACCGTTTTAATTCCATTGCCCTTGCCCTCAACCTGCAATTTAAAATATAATTCAATGTATCTAGCACATGACATAAATTAAATAACCAACACATGATCAGCCATCTTATGCATGCACATTTGTCCAGTGATCAAGGTATTACAAAATTAACTCGGTATCTACAGCACTTAATTTGATCCAATTTCTTTCACATTTTAAGCCTGTTCCTTCAAACAAATATAAAACCGTTTGGTCTCAACGATTTGAAATCCAAAATAATATCTTGTAACGGTTCAAAAGTTATTGTATAGAGATTGAATACAACTGTGAATTAATTACCTTAGCTAGGAGACGAGGCATCTTGTACCTGTAGAAGGGGTCGGTAACCTCACTGTTGATGTTGAGGCTAGCCATTGTGAAGTACTTGTGTTAGACGACCTGTGCTTTCTGTGTATTCCACTGCCCGTACAAAACAAATGGCAACAATATCGTTGGAAATTCATAAAACTAATTAAAGGGTCTATAGTCTGATCCGAATGTGTGGAAGCAATCTTTCCTTTGTGCCACGGCAATGGCCCTGAAAAAAAGTAACAATGAAATGAAAGACAAATTTAAATAGAATTGAAATAGTATACTGGATCACTTCAACATTTGGATAATCCTTAACTTTATCTTGTTGAAATAAAATACTGTCACTATTTCAGTTTTCAGGAGACCACATGAAAACAACAGGTAGGAAACTCCATGGACTTAATTCAAATTTATATTTATTCTAAAAGCAAAATCGGTCCCGAGTGTTTTCAAAATGAATAATAACTTATCATTAATTAATACCGATGTTATTTTTTTTCCCTGAAGTTTTCTTTTGATACAAACAATATATAATAGAATTGCGAATGTTCTTAGTAGAAAAAACAATTAATACATTTTTTTCTGTACTGGAAATTCCTAAAAATGATACGACGCCCTCTTAAAAGTCTAACGAACATCACAGAAATTTTCTGGCATAACTTAAATAGAATATTTGGAAATCCATTAATATTTATTTTGGTATTATGGAAATGTTTTAAACAACAAAATTGTGAATATTAAAAATGTCTATATTTTCTGTCAACATGAGAAACGCTTCCATCTGTTGAAATCAAACCAAATGCTATGCCATCGATGACGTAAATATCATGTCAACATAATAAGTTCCGTTCGGCATATTTTATCGACAGGCAAAGGCCCCTGGAAACGCGCCAAAAATTCCCACACTCCCTCTTCATATGATTATGACCCACTACCTTCCACATTCAAGCGAACTTTTAGCGTGTGCTATTTATTATTAAATAAATAACAAAATTCTTTTAAGTGTTCCAATATATGACGACATTTTGGGTTGAATGAGCCAATCGCATGTCCACGTGTTTTCAATATGGCCACTTCGTCGCGACAAAGTAACCTTGAACTGGATCTATAACGAGAGGAAATATTCCAACATCTAAACCACTTCTTTTCGTTTTAAATCAAAGTCATTTCTAATTTATCATGTATACTCACCGTCTAAACTCAAAAACGTCATAAAAAAGGTTGTCAAAGTTGTGTTAGGTGAAAATAAATTATCCGGAGGTTCTGCCTTACTGTGCCTACGCAGGTCCCAATATGTCGATATAAAACGCCCCGACGGAGCCAAGAAATTTCGCCAAACACTGTAAAAAGACAAAAGATTGCTGTAAAATGTTGATTTCTATATCACAATCAATTTTGTTTCATAAACAAAGGGCTGTTACAGCATAAATTCAATAAAATATTGCGGACCCATTCGACACTCACCCGAGAAATTCCAACCTGTGCTTGTCACAAGATCCCGTATGTAGACTTCGTTCTCGGCCAAAGTGAAGTTCCGCGATAAAATACGAGACCTAGTACATTCCGCCATATTGCCAGGATGGTCACACGGGAAGGGGAGTGAGATACCTCTATGAAAAGATCATTCCAAATAATCTGAAATGCGGACTTTTAATGTGTGCGATGTGGATTGAGAAATCGCAGATGTTATGTGATTTCGTGTGTAGATCGTTCAGGTCTATGATCTGTCAATGTAAATACAAAAAAGGACAACTCCTTACGGAAAAGTGTTTTTGACAGATTGTTATCCATACTATCCACCTCATCACAAGATTTGTTTATCAAATCTCCAGCCATCTCCGACTCCTTTTGTTTTTGTCAACTTAGGTGGGTTGAATAGGAAAATGTTAGTCAATCATATATCCTTTTTATAATCTTTACAATCCATTGATATGGTTCCTTTTTGTATTCCTGATATTTGCAAACAGGTGCACTGCGTGACAGTAAACCGGCTGCAGGCTTTACAGGTAAACTTAGAATTGCATTTATTTTCAAAAGTCGAATGCAAATTCAATATTACCCGTCGAAATAAACCGAAATACATCATCTCGCTTCCATGTGTGTAGTGTAGGCATGCAAAGGTGTCGCTGTGTATATTGGTGTACTTTTGGTAAAAATTTGACACCCATTGATCAGGTTGGAGAAAACCACCAACTTGCGTATAATACGCAAACTCGCCTATTATACTCCAGTTGTAGTATGGATTTGTTACTAAAAATTACTCAAATCGTCTTGACAGTAACTATTGCAATTTATTATTAAAAATCGCATTAATTTACTACAAGGTAAATAATATTTTGCTAAAAAGATGTTTACTGAAAGCATTGGCTACTTAGAAACATGCTGTAACTCTACCGGAAGTATTGCATCTAGTATTGGTATTTTCCCACATGTAAATAAAGGTTATTTTTGCATTTGTATGATGTTTCGTGACTAAATAAATGCGACTTGGATAAACAATTTGAAATTGTTATGCTTAAAGTGATTTTAATGTAAGGGCATTGTGTAGTAAATGAAAGATTTTTTTTATCAATTCCTTTCAAATTTTGTACGGTAATGCTAGAAGCAATAATGTTCAAAACATAGTTTTTCTGTCGAGTTTCAACTTTCCACGTTTTGCCTTTCACACTTGACATACCAACACTGTTCCTCATTTTGCCGTTAACTTTTGCTTGTTTATATATAAATAGGATAAATCAAACAATTTTTTTCATTTTTTGTCAAATTTAGTGGGATGTTTGATATTAATGACTTCTTTTGTAGAACTATGCGATAGATATTTATCATATTTGATTGGAAGCATCCCTAGGTAGTGAAGATTCAAAATTGTACAAATGGTGGGGGGTGACCCCCCAGGGGGCTGAGAGGCAGGGCAATTTGGCTATATTGTTTTAAGCGACTTCTGTGGAACTAAGAGATGGATATCAACCATATTTGACTGGAAGCATCCCTAGGTAGTGAGGATTCAAAATTGTACAAATGGTGGGACTGACCCCCAGGGAGCTGAGGGGTGGAGCCAAAAGGGGGCAATTTGGCTAGATTGCTATGAAAAACATCTTCTGTAGAACTTTGCACTGGATATTGATCATATTTGGTTGTAAGCATTCATGGGAGGCAAGGATTCAAAATTGTGCAAATGGTAGGGCTGACCCCAAGGGGGCTGACAAACCGGGCCAAAAAGAATTATTTTGTTACATTGCTTTAAGCGAATTCTTCTCTGGATCTGGAGCCAAATGATATGTATCAACCATATTTGACTGGAAGCATCCCTAGGTAGTGGGGATTCAAAAATTATGCAAATAGTGGGGCCACCCCCAGGGGGGTTGAGGGGCGTAGCTGAAAGGGGGCAATTTGGTTTTATTGCTATAAACGACTTCTTCTATAGAACTATACACTGGATATAAATCATATTTGGTCAGAAGCATTCATGAGAGGTGGGGATTCAAAATTGTACAAATAGTGGGGATGACCCCCCGACTAAGGGGTGGGGTTAAAAATAGTTAATTACTTGGAAATGGTTGAGATCCCCACTCTATAACCATATATACAATTGCTAAGTATAAAGAGAAGAATGCACATATGCTTCCAGGATGGCCCCTGGGTCTGGCCCCACCCTTGGAGACTTAATCCCTGGGTCTGAACTTTGAAATGGTTGAGATCCCCACCCCAAAACTATATACACAATTGTTGGGCATGAAGAGACAAACACTGTCATGATATTAGAATTGACCCCGGGATCTGCCTCTGACCCTTGCAAACTTAACCCCTGGGTCATAACTTTGGTACAGTTAAGATATCCCCACCCCAAAACTATATATACAATTGTTGGGCATAAAGAGACAAATGCTGTCATGATATTAGAATTGACCATGGAATCTGCCTCACCCTTGCAAACTTAACCCCTGGGTCATAACCTTGAAATGATTGAAATGGATTAGGCAAATTCAGTTTCTTAATTTCAGTTTTAAAATATTTCATTTAGGGAACATTTTTCCAAGGTAGATAGCTAGGGGAACAGGAAATGCATATATTGTGTTTTGGTCTACTGAAAGTTTAAAAGGACCATTATATACAGGCTTTCAGTTGGCATTCAGAAGTCAAAAATGTCATGTATTAAACTTTTTCTTATGGATTTTTGGAAAAAGGAATTAATGGCATAGTAGAAAATGCAAAAAAAAATATGTCCGTGTGTTCATTTTTGTGCTATGATCGGTCAAAGGTACCAATTTAACACAACGTGATTTTAGGTGATTTTATGTGTTTTGACCGTTTGCAGAACAAATTCATACAATTTCTTCCGAGTGTGCTATCAGATATGTATGAATACTTGTAGAATTAATGAAAATATTATTTTCTTTTAAATTAAGGAAGTAAAATTTCTTAATCTTATTCTTTTAACTCAGAAGGCCGATTTTAGTTACCCCTTTACCCCCTATTTTTTAATGAAAAGATACTCATTTTTTACCATGTTTTGCATATTAAACATTTGATATAAAAAGTTCTGCTATTAAACTTTTTATACGCCTGTCAAATTTTTCAACCAATCTCTTTGAAACTTGGTATACATTATAAACATGTCTCCCTTAAAAGAATTTTGATTCGACAAGTTTTCCAAAAGTAATTGCCCTTTGTTCATTTAAGTATTTGATTTTTGTCCGGCAATCTCCTTCTACATTTTTCAACGGATCTCTTTGAAATTTAGTAGGTTACGTAATCATGATATGAATTTGTGTTTCCCGGAAAAGAATTTTGATTCGACAAATTTTCCAAAGGTTATTGCCCTTTGTTTATTTCAGTATTTGATTTTTGTCGGGCAATCTCCTCCTACATTTTTCGACCGATCTCTTTGAAACTTAGTATACATTATAATCATGATATGAAGTTGTGTCTCCCGCAAAAGAATTTTGATTCGACAAGTTTTCGAAAGTTATTGCCCCTTGTTCATTTCAGTATTTGATTTTTGTCCGGCAATCTCCTCCTACAATTTTCAACGGATCTCTTTGAAACTTGGTATACAATATAATCATGATATGAAGTTGTGTCTCCCTTAAAAGCATTCTGATTCGACAATTTTTTCAAAAGTTATTGCCCTTTGTTCATTTCAGTATTTGATTTTTTTGTCCGGAGATCTCTTCCTACATTTTTTGACAGATTTATTTGAAACTTAGTAGGCTAAATAATCATGATATGTTGTTGTGTTTCCTTGAAAAGAATTTTGATTCAACCATTTTTGCAAAAGTTATTGCCGTTTGTTCATTTCAGTATTTGTTTTTTTGTCCGGAGATTTTCTCTTACATTTTTATAGCGTGTCAGCTAACCACTTTTAGAATGATGCAGATCTTATTTCAATGTAAGAAAGTATATAACACTATATGGCATTCGACGGGTGTATATTGTTCCGCCCCGCGGTACTCTTGTTTTAATATTTAATGAATTAAAAGAAAAAGTGACCTTTTTCGGGATCAAAAGTGCTTCTGTTACGCTAAATATGTAAAAAAAAAAATCAATAATGTATAATTATCCAGTTTGTTGCATATGATTTTTATCATATTAAACATTATGAAGTTGTACAGCAAAATTGAACCTGCTACAATTAAAAATGGCAACACAATGACAATTTAAGTGATCAATCTAGTGTCAAAAAAGGTGAAATTTTGGCCTTTTTTGAAGCGCAAGAAATACACATTAATACACATTTTCAAAATGGTCGCCGAATTAGTAATTTGTTTTAAATTCTTGTAAAAAAAGTTCTACAAACAACAGTTATCTAGTTTTTTGACATATTTTTCAGATGCATGTTTGCTAATAAACTTGATCATAACTTGTTCAATATTACAAAAACCTGTTACACCAGGTCAAAACGCGACTTGATCGTGATTGAAACCTCAGAAGTGTACATCCTTAAGCAATTCCAGAAGCCAAATAACTTTTCTTATTAAATCTGAAGGATCAAAACACAAGTACATGTCAAAAAGACATGTCCATTTAATCAACAGAGTCCAAGCGAAACTTTGAGTGTCAGAAGCATATACTCCCAATTGCAAGGGCCTACTGAAAACCCTTCGTATAAATATAAAAAGGGGCTGCATTTAGACTACTGTTTATCAAGCAACCAATAAATATTTTCAGCAGTTGAATTAAAGCCTGATTTAATATTTATGCTTTAATATAACCATAAAATGCATGTTGAAATATCTTTATTAACTTTTAACATGCTTCATTATTAATGCTGTGTATTGGAAGAATGTGATTTGTTTTCCTGCGACTTCAATGTACATGAGACAGAAGTGTTTTCCTGATGAGATGCTTGCAAATGTACTCAAATAACTGTTCAATATAATAACGATTGGTAACAATTATATAATTGGATTTTTTTTTATCTTAAAAATGTTTTTATTATTGAGGAACCATTTATTTTATGTTATACTAATAGTGGTATGTATGAGTATCTGATCATATATATGTGACTTAGGCCTCGTGATTTTGTGGGTACTAAATGGGACCTGTTTGTCCTAGTGTAGTGTATATGGCCTAGCTGTTTGTCCTTGTGGAGTGTACATGTACTGTATGCAAGATATTTGTCCTGTGTTAGTGTATGTTACCTGTTTGTCTTGGTGAAGTGAATGTGACCTGTTTGTCCTTGTGAAGTGAATGTGACCTGTTTGTCCTCGTGAAGTGTATGTTACCTGTTTGTCCTTGTGAAGTGTATGTTACCTGTTTGTCCTGTGTTAGTGTATGTGACCTGTTTGTCCTTGTGAAGTGCATGTGACCTGTTTGTCCTTGTGAAGTGTATGTTACCTGTTTGTCCTTGTGAAGTGTATGTTACCTGTTTGTCCTGGTGAAGTGAATGTGACCTGTTTGTCCTTGTGAAGTGAATGTGACCTGTTTGTCCTTGTGAAGTGTATGTTACCTGTTTGTCCTTGTGAAGTGTATGTTACCTGTTTGTCCTGTGTTAGTGTATGTGACCTGTTTGTCCTGTGTTAGTGTATGTTACCTGTTCGTCCTTGTGGAGTGTATGTGACCTGTTTGTCCTTGTGAAGTGTATGTGACCTGTTTGTCCTTGTGAAGTGTATGTGACCTTTTTGTCCTGTGTTAGTGTATGTGACCTGTTTGTCCTGATGAAGTTATGTGACCTGTTTGTCCTGGTGAAGTGAATGTGACCTGTTTGTCCTTGTGAAGTGTATGTTACCTGTTTGTCCTGTGTTAGTGTATGTTACCTGTTTGTCCTTGTGAAGTGTATGTTACCTGTTTGTCCTTGTGAAGTGTATGTGACCTTTTTGTCCTGATGAAGTTATGCGACCTGTTTGTCCTGGGGAAGTGTATGTGACCTGTTTGTCGTGTGGCAATGTATGTGACCTGTTTGTCCTGGTGAAGTGTATGTGACCTGTTTGTCCTGATGAAGTGTATGTGACCTGTTTGACCTGGTTAATTGTATGTGACCTGTTTGTCCTGATGAAGTGAATGTGATCTGTTTGTCCTGGTGAAGTTATGTGACCTGTTTGTCCTAGTGAAGTGAATGTGACCTGTTTGTCCTGATGAAATGTATGTGACCTGTTTGTCCTGTGGCAATGTATGTGACCTGCTTGATGTTTGTGACTTATTTGTTCTGGTGAAGCGTATGTGACCTATTTGTTCTGGTGAAGCGTATGTGACCTATTTGTTCTGGTGAAGCGTATGTGACCTATTTGTTTTTTGGTAGTGTATGTGACTTGTTTGTCCTGTGGAAGTGTATGTGACCTGTTTGTCTTATATGAAATATTAATTGTACGTATGTCTTGTTTATGTTGCGAGTGTTAATTTAAAGTGTTGGTCATAAGCAGTGTTTGTGATTTGTTTTACTGTGTGATCTAGATCTGTTTGTCTGGGGGTAGTGAATGGGTGACTTTTTCTTCCTGTTATAATGCATGCGTGACCTGTTTGTGTGGAAGTAAATTCATATACATAATATGTGACCAGTTTGTCCTGTAATCCCTCTAATGCATTTACCTATGAAGTTACTTCTGCATTTGTTTTGATCTGTTGTATTTTGGTGTTTGGATATTATTGCATGACATGTATCCTGCCATTTTCAGGCAATGTATACCTGCCTTCTCTAATACGAAAGCATGGACACCTCACAGGCAGCAGGGATGTCAGAAGAAGATAGGTAAAACTAGCTTTATATATTTTTTGCAAAATTAATGTAGCAAATCGTTGCACATTGAGCTGTGAACAGCCTACAAAGCTTGTAATTGGACATTGTATCAATAATGTTTGCTTCATTGTTCATTGTATTTGCTTCATTATTCATTGTCATGTATTTGTACACGTATATAAAAGACATTGTATATATAAAAAATAAATATACTGTAAACTTGTATATATAAAAAATAAATATACTGTAAACTACAAAGCTTACATGCGAGCAGACATGTCTATTATCAGGGTTTTACATGTACAACAACTTTACCAAGCTACGTAATTCCAAAACTCCCCATGAAGTAAGGTGGGGTGTTTATTGCAATGTGTTTTCTTACAATGTTTTGAATGGTGAATATATTAAGATTGAACAGTTATAGTAAGTTTTGTGATGCAAAAGCCTAATACACATATCCTGACAGACCTGTTGACTTGAGGTACAGTACACAGTTCCTGACAGACCTGTTGACTTGAGGTACAGTACACAGATCCTGAAAGACCTGTTGACTTGAGGTATATTACAGATCCTGACAAACCTGTTGACTTGAGATACAGTTAACATATCCTAATAACAGACCTGTTGACTTTGTGTTGGTCTGACATAGTGATTGGGACTGCGATCAATGGTAGCTCCCACTGCAGCAGGCCTGCTTAAGCTTCTTCTTCACATGCAGACTGAATACATTTACATTTTATAGGATGCAGAATTGCCTGACTTTTATTGATGTTGCTGTTAAGGAAGTTGTTGTTGTGTTACTCATAGAGTATAGTTGGAAGATTCATATATCGAACATGGTGGCGGCGATTTTCCAGAGGCTTTTTTCAGCAAGTCCTGAACATTATTATTCAGAATGCTGACAAGTTCCATTAGTCACCAGTGTTACTAAGAGATTAACGTAGCATGAGTCCAGGGACTCGAATATCTTTGTCCCAAAATTCAGTGAGGGAATTCTTCCAATATATCAACTACTGATATAAAGATCTTCAGGTGCAGCAAGCAGGACACGTTCAGCTGTTTCAGTTTCTTCCTCTAAGAATTCATACTTCTTGGGGGGGAAGGGGGGGGGGGGATGTTATGTAAGGTGCTTAGGTGAGACAATAGTTCAATTTTCATGAAATTACAGAGAATAACTTAATACAATTTGTACATAGTAAAACCAGGTCCTCGACATGCGATTTATTCAATACAACTGCTTTAAAAAGATGGTCTGCATTTCATAATGATGAAGACCAAAGTATTTTGAGGTTAAAAGCTGATGTTATTTATACTGTTCCTTTGTTTGTATTGATATATACAGTCGTTCAATATATAGTAATAAAACATACCTGTTAATATTTAGGTAAATCTATAACAGAAATTACGACTGTGCTATTATTTAGCTGTACATTGACAAGTGATATTGAGAGATGGCTCGAGCTCTTCATGAATGACACAAAGAGCAATAACTGAATTGTTATGTTTGTGTATCAGACAATATACACTAACATATACATACTGCATAAACATAAATTATTCACTAGGTGACATCATACCACTGTACAGAGCCTGCCTGGCTGCTGGGATCAATACTCAGTTCTGTATAGAACTCGCAAAAATCAATAGCCAGCATCTGGATGTACTGAGAGCATTATAATATGTGGCTAGCTTGCTACAAGCTCGGGGATGGTAGAATCTGGGCACAGACCATTCAGTGTAGAGGTGACACAACATGACCCTGCTTTTCTCACCTGCTTTTAATAAAACTGCAGTGGCAAATATTGTGATTTCTAATGAGAAGGAAAAATAAATTGAGATCATATGGCTGAAAATTGAGAAATACATAACAATAACTGGTAGTATTTATTGTTGATGTGACGTACTTGTTACCCCTTGGTAAGAGTGAGGTTGGGATGCCCTGTGTTCTTGTGGACTGCTTCTGCCATGGTGGCTATCTGCTGGATCCTTAGGAAGTAGAGGCATTATTACAGTTAACTCTACCTAACGTGATGGAGACAGAAACGGTTAAGGCCTACCGAATGTAAGTTGTCTCCACATAGATGTTTTCCTCTATATTTCTGACAGTCGGGAGACTGTTTTTTTTTGTCTTCAGAAGCGTTTCAGGCCAGTCTCCTCAAGCTAGGCTGAATCATGCATAATTAGTGATGTGGTAATTTGTTGCTGCTTATATGTTGCAGGATTATTGTGGTCATTATTTTTACGAGTGATGTTTATCTGTTGGGCTTTGTTATTGCGCGCTACCTGTATGGGTGAATGATAAAATATACTGTGTTTTTGATGAGCTGTATAAATCATTTTCTGTAGATAGAAGGCATGATCACAGTTGTACATGTACCGGTAGGCAAATACAGTATAGTAGCAACTCGTGACCCTGATTCAATAACACAGTTTTTATTCATCTTTTAAAACTTGTCTGTGTGATCATGTTTACTGTATATTCTGTTCTGTTGTGCGGACACATTAATGAGAATGTTCATCAACCGTGCACAATATTTATATACATGGCCTATACCTGCCCACGACCAGCTGGTAAGGTATATACGCAGAGGTGTTTTATACCTTTGTATAGTTGGACTCTCCGTGGTATGACCGACAGTTGAGTCACCATATATAGGACTGAGGCTTACGTTGCTGCAGTTTATTGAAGCAGAAATTTTTACTTGTTCAGGTAAACTGCAATAAAATGTAAATAACAGCCATGGCGTTGTCATAGAAGTGTGTAGTCAACCAATCGTATTCCTCGTCTCTGTCCTCACCTGATGCAACTAATCACAATAAACCATTCTCTCCTAACAATCTGAAAGGAACTTATCTCATAAAAGAAGATTATATTGACTACATCAGTTTTTCTAAAATCATCATAATTTATATAGTGGGAAGTCCTGTCTACAAGGCTGTTGTATGAAGAGGTTTAATTTTCAGGATGTTTTGGCCAGACTGATTATATTTTACTGGTAGGTCTTTCAAGCAGAACTGGTTAAACTATTTTATTTAGCTTGTTTTCTTAAACATATTTAATTTCTCAATGAAACAACTTAATGCTTGAATGTGTCCTTTTCAATTCATTCATGCACATTATTATGTTAATGTGTTATTTGATGTGTACTAAAAGTTTGTTTTAAAATATGTAGTCGGCATTATATTGTAATTTGAAGAGAGATTTATGATATGATACCATGTCAACTGTGTAGGGGAATAAAAGTGCAGGGATGTCTGTTAAGTTCTTTTTTGTTTGGGGGGGGGGGGGGGAGCTAACAATTTTCTATTAGACTTTGATATTCATCCAAGGAGCTATTGAATTATTCCTTTTTATAATATGGTTCCATGGCAGAAGTAAGAACATGGTTTAGGATCAAGGCTCTCTCATTCAAACATTCCTTTCTACAGATTGGGCTTGATATATCTTCTGTCCAAACATACACTGGATTATAATAGCAGTCTTTGAGGATAGCAGAGGGTTAATATATACATGTGTTGACTTCTGAATTTCTTCGTGAATGTCACGCTCTGCTTGTATTACCAAGACTATGTATAGATTTAATATGAAGTGTATTTAACTTCAAACCATTGTGTGCTATCCAAATATGTACCCCAGGTAAATACACTAATTCCCTCTGGGCACTGCACAGTGATATAGTGTAAGGGGGACATCGTCCATCAGATGTGTTTGTGAGACTATAAACACACAGACTTATACTCCCCACAGTTATACACTACAGTGTAAGGGGGACATGAACCATCAGATGTGTTTGTGAGACTTATATAAACATACACTATAGTGTAAGAGGAATATTGTCCTTAAGTTGTGTTAATGAGACTATAAGATCACACACTTGTCACAGACTAATACTTCCCATAATCATACATTTTGGTTTAAGGGCCTACAGTGATTTGTTTTAGAGTAAGAGGAATGTGGTCCTTAAGTTGCGTTAATGAGACTATAAGATCACACAGACTAATACTTCCCATAATGATACATTTTGGTGCAAGGCCTACAATGATGTTTTAGCGTAAGAGGAATATGGTCCTTAAGTTGTGTTAATGAGACTATAAGATCACACAGACTAATACTTCCCATAATGATACATTTTGGTGTAAGGCCTACAATGATGTTTTAGCGTAAGAGGAATGTAGTCCTTAAGTTGTGTCAGTGAGGCTAAACATACAGAGACTAATACTGTACTTGAAACTTTTAGTGATTCTTTAGAAATTGGTGTCTGATGGTAGTTAATATTTTGAAGAAAAACAGATGTAAACACTTTTGTTAACCTTGTTAAATGTCCTTAACATCTGGTTATATATAGAAATATGTATGATAATAGCATCTTTAGTGAAGGGATATAGACTTGCTGTATAATTTTTTCTATTAAGTAATATGATACACTTACTTAATGCTGGAAAAATGTCAGTGTTGTGCCAGAAATTTTAATTCATAGACTTGTTTCATACAAAAATGAAAAAAATAAAGATATATATCTATATCTATAAATGAAAACATTTAAAGAACCAGCGAGGAGGACAGAAGATACGAATACAAGGCTAGAGTATTCAAGAAATTAGTTCACAACAGGCAAAATTCTCTATGGATTTGATATAAGAAAATTCCTTGCCAGGGACAACTATTGCTTTTGTTGTGAGCAGGAATTTGTGACAAGCTTGATAAGTTCATTGTAAGTATAAACAATATTTACTGTATTGAAGAATGTTAGAAGGAAATGAGAATTGTGTCTCAATCTATTAAGGCATTGTTCTTTCTGATTGTTTTTATGATTTCATTAATCATTTAGTTATACGTTTCAGATTGGGAGTCTGTAATGTGTATAATAACTTGGTTACTGCCCAAGTATAACTGCTGTATAACTAACACCCTTTAGAGTGTTACAGGACTGTGTATGTATTTTGGAACCTAGCTTTATTGATTCCTACAAACGAAGGCTACCAGATCACATCCAGACATTCTATCCCTGTCCTGTTTTGGTATTTAGATAAAACCACTGTAGTGTCCAGTTCATGTTTCTCCCATCACATCCCGATCAATGAATGAGTAATCCTACTTAGGGTGGACAGAACTGTCCTGGAACTGTTCAGGCCAGCGAACACATGAACATGTACACCATCTAATTATACGATTGAGTATGTGTCGTCATTTATGTACCTGTAATAGTTGGCATGATATTTAACATACAATTAAATATGTGAAGTCAACTATATGTACTTGTAACTATTCAAACAATTGACATGAGAAATATGTATGGTTGTTAATTAAACTGTAACAGTTGGTGTTACTTATCATGGAATATATTGTGTCATTAAATTACTTATAAACCGTGCGAGGTTAAACATATCATGGAATATATTGTGTTATTAAATTACTGATAATCGTGCGAGGTTAAACGTATCATGGAATATATTGTGTCATTAAATTACTTATAAACCGTGCGAGGTTAAACATATCATGGAATATATTGGGTCATTAAATTACTTATAACCGTGCGAGGTTAAACGTATCATGGAATATATTGGGTCATTAAATTACTTATAATCGTGCAAGGTTAAACGTATCATGGAATATATTGGGTCATTAAATTACTTGTAACCGTGCAAGGTTAAACATACAGTTGAATATATGTGTCACTGATGTATGTCTTGTGTAATCCTGTTGATGGTGACCCTGACCTGACAGGTTTATTGAGTTTAATACCTTTTTAGGATCCTGGCTGACACAGTATATGTAGCCAGTAATTAGATTGTGTCATTTTATCATTCCACTGTTGATGTATCTGTGTATTCTGTAAAATGAGTCATGAATCTAGGTTTGTGTACCTGCCTCCTTGTGATAGGAGCTTGTGTTATATAACTGGACAGTAGCTATATGATCATCACCAGCTAGACAAGTCTATGTAGGTCACAGGCCTTTTATTTACGAAGTGTGTAAAACTACCAGGTATTGCAGCTATTCAAAAGCCAATTTCTGAAAGTTTTGACTTGCGTAATTTCTGCCATATTCTAAATTTCCCCTGTATAACTGATAAGAGTTATATCTTATTAGAAGCCGGATGTCTAGTCGATCAGTGTTTACCCATATGACTAGTAATGTCTGGTTAATATGAAGTAATTATGCATAGGTTCAATGAAAAGGGTCAGATATTGCACCTTTTCCCCCAATCATTTACCGGTTACATGTGGGTACATGCATTACTTAAGCTTGTACACTTGACTTGTAGCTGATTAACTATTTCACCCCTGAAATTTTATAATGAACTATTTCAACCTTTGAACTGGAAGAGTTCAAATGTGTCTTCAGGGATGAATGAATAGATCCGAGTACATGTACACCTTATCTATGTAATATCCATCAATTTAAATACCGTAAGAATGACATGAATTAATATATTGGACTAGTCTAGACTGATGACGAGTGATCTATACTTGGTTTAGTATTGCCTGCCATTACTATCTATGTACATGTAGTTTCATGCATGGCAGACGCCTGTGATATTTTCTTAGAAGTTTCTTTAACGGCTAGATAAAACAAATCTTCTTAATTTATATGAGATTTCATTGATTACTGTGATGGTTGGCACGATAATTGATCTGCAGCAATGCTAGTACAGTTGTTTGATGAAGCTATTTAATGGTATTGATCTGTAGCATAAATAGATTGGCCTTAGTAGGGTATCACACATGACATGTTTACTGCTGTTTGGAGGGATTCTTTATAGAATTTATCAACAGGAAACAGGAATGTTATGTGCTGTTTCTGTGTCTTTATCATTTGATCATATTAACGTTTGTTGTCTGTAGACCTATTTTGGGGGAGTTAGTTTGAATCCATCATCATTAGCACCAATCAATACCTCATACAGCACCATTTTCTCTGTGATAGACAATCCAGTCCACTTTTAACATATTATCACCTGTAAATTCACACACACACCCTACTTTTTGTGAAATGGATATTTGAGCATTTTCCTTTTCCCTATCAGTCTGTCACTAGTGTATATGTGCTATTTTACAAGTACATGATCTGTAGCATGATATATGTGTATGGAAATTGTTCTCAATGCAAAAGTTGCAATAATAAATAATTCACTTAAAAATAGAAACTTCTCAAATGCCATAAAGTTAAACTGATTTCTGTTGATCTGGGAGATAATATACCTAATATGTTACTTATAAATAGAAACTACTCAATGGTCCTAAAGTTAAACTGATTTCTGTTGATCTGGGAAATAATATACCTAATATGTAACTTATAAATAGAAACTACTCAATGGTCCTTAAGTTAAACTGATTTATCTATCTGATATTCCACAGTGTATCCTATACAACTAACAAGATAATGTACCTTTAATGCTGTTCCCCATTCAAAGTGAGAACACTTTTATGCCATTTGACAGTGAACTTCTAAGGTCAAGCACAGCATAATGTATTAATGTGTCTCAAAACAGCTTGCAGAAAATTATAACTTAAATAATTAGTATCCTGTGTGTTTGTTGTGCATGATGACTGGTGCAACCTGATGTTGTGAATTCACAAAAGGAACCTTTTATCAGCAATGTCTATAAAGATATGATTTTGGTACATTTTCAGAAAAAAGATTGAAGAGATTGGCAAGATGACTGCCCTTTCCCAGGAGGAGATATTCTGTAACACCAAGACCATTATTCAGGGCCTTGACACACTGAAGAATGAGCACCATCAGATACTCAACGGGCTCCTGTCTTCCATGAAGACTATCAAACGGGAGAATGGTGACACCAACCTTATGGAAGAGAAGACAAACAGACTGAAAAAGTCACTTGAAACAATAGAACTGGGGCTCAGTGAAGCTCAAGTAAGTTAATTCATTGAGACAACTTAACTCTAAGCTAAGCTAGAATATTCGGTTGTGTAAATCAATATGGATTAATAACATATCACAATCATAGTATAGGTTAAGTCAAGCCTAAGTACTTAGCTGTTAGTTTTGAAAGTTAAACAGTTGCAGAAGTGATAAAAATAAGCCTTTTCTGTTCAGCAAAATGACATCCACAAAATATCGTTGAAATTGTAGAATTGTCAAATTAAAAGATCATGCCAGTTTTATGTAGCCAACACGTGGGATGACACCAACACATCAGATAGATACTCATTATTAGGAAGTGGGTGTCATTTAGGGTAGAAACCTGACATTTACACCCATCCCTAGAGACATGACATTTATGTCCACTGACTGTAGACAGTTGTACTAATGTCAGTACAGTGATAAGGACATTCAATCAGACTAATGGACCTGTGGCAACACGTCTTGATGAAGTCATATCAAGGAATGGTGACTATTTACTTTTAAGTGGCGATTTTCATTTTAAAAATAAAACTCAAATTTCAGGTCCTGTAACAAAATCCTGATGATAAGGTTACCGGGGAACCTGAATTACAATGACATAATATATATACTGATTATATTCATCTTTTATGGGAAGGCCTGTATCATACTTGACAATATATCAATGACAACAAAAAAGTACACAATCTCTCTGCAATGATTCTGGAACAACAGCTTGTCAAATATGTATTCATTAAAAGAATTGGTTTTAAATCATGTACAAGGCCAGGAAATGTTGTGTATGTCATCATGGCATCTTTTGGCATTTCTGAAGTTTATACACGAGTTTGGTTGACCTTCATGATCGCTGCTAGAAATGGTAGGCAGTGATGTTATTGACATTAAGAGGGAGGAGGTCTCTGCTAGAGCCGACAATGCACTGTACATTGGAAATCAAGAATAAAGTAAACAAACGTTTGGAGCCCCTAGCTTAGTGATGAATGGCACTATAATTATAATGACCCAAAGAAATCAATAGTGTTGTGGAACAGACTCGGTAATGACTGTAACAACCTGGAAACAGCATCGCTATGTCAGCTTGTGTCATCTTTCCAACCATTACTGTACATATATTACCTCGGACAACAGACATTAATTGAGCTATCATTGTAAAACTGACAATGGAACTAAGAGAAAAGAAATGGCATTTCTTATTGTTAATTGTGCTGTAAAATATCAATATAAACATTTATAGGTTAATTGCCGGACTACTGATGGATTCATTGATTAATGTAATTAATGGTATTTTTGTTACTATGCTAATACTGAAGACTCCTTAAAATATGTAGTCATTTTGAAATAGAGTGTAGAATGAATATTTAAGATTTAATCTTTATAATTAGTAAGGGACATTATGATGTAAAGTAGTCACAGACCAATGCCTACTGAAACGCCCGTCTGGTTTACCAAATACATTTTATTTTGTGAGTAGTGTCAGTAAATAATTCATCATCCAGACATTGAGGGGAAAAATGTATTAGGTATGGGATTTCAATATTTTTTTAAATCCCACTTCAACAAAGTTGTCTCTATAGAGTATTTGTTTTGTCAGCACTTGTAGTTTTCAGGACACATCTCAGCCGCTGTTTATCAATTGGCATTAAACTTTGTATGTAGGTACATCATGGAAAGGTAGTGTGCTGCATCCTAAAATGAGGTCAATGTGTTCTCAGTTTGACCTTTGACTTCCTGCCATGCCCCTAATAAATTCAGTACAATTCAGGTTTCTACAGTTTCATGAATGGGCTCCAAACTTTGTACATTTTGCTGAGACTGGGAGTATCCATGAAGCCCGCGCTTTGAGTTAAATCTAGTTTACGTTGGTTGAATACAACGTTATTACAGACATAAATATGTTTCTTATATTTTGAAATAATGTTGAAATCATACACCTAATGGCAGCAAGAGAACTTAGCAAAAAATACTTAACAAAAGAGAGACAAATATTATATACATCATAACCATGCACCGGTAGTAGCACCGTGACCTGCTGCGTCTCATGGCAGTAAAAAAAAACTGAAAATAAACTTTGGCTTTCTTTTTATCAGGTAATGATGGCACTTTCAAATCATTTACAACATGTGGAAGCAGAAAAACAAAAGCTTCGAGCACAAGTAAGAAGGTTGTGTCAGGAAAACGCTTGGCTAAGAGATGAACTGGCAAACACACAACAAAAACTGCAAATGAGTGAACAGAAAGTGGCAACTATAGAAGAAGAGAAGAAACATTTGGAATTTATGAATGAAATGAAAAAGTATGATTCCTCAGATCCTCAGCAAACTAGTGTGGTAAGTATGACCAGACACGTCCTGATGATGCCTTGTTGTGTATAAATAGTTGTAGATGGTTGTGTACTCCTCGCAACTTCACACGTTGAGAATCAAATCACAAAACTTTTTCTGATCTTCCTCATCTCACAGATTTATGAGTATCTAGTATTGCAAGCTACCAAGGTACTAAAATGAATTGCAAATTTGTATTTATATTAAAGAAATTCGTCCAAACCTACTTTTTGTATAATTACACAATGCTACAATGCATCATAGTGATATCCATTTGTCCTGTGACTAGAATTGGTAATCAGACTGGCATTGGTCAAATAAGTTTGGTGGAGAGAACAATTTGCTGTTATATTTGAATGGCGTTTTTCTTTGCCAGTCTTTACCACGCTCAGCAGGAGGGGTAGTGCCAGTGGTAAGTGGTTTGACCCTGCAGTGTACACACGCTGGGTCGTTGGGTAGATGGACTTCAATTAGATTTTGGTTACTATTCTACTAACACTGTGTGTTGCTTTTGAACTGCACCAAAGAACAAGTTAAAACTTAGCTTTCACATTCATGCATTTCACTGAAAGATTGTATAATCAATGCATTTAGATCAAACATTTTATATATTCAATGTAAAATATTTCAAAATTAAAAGGATAATTTCTAAAAAAAAAACATGAATTCCTTAAAATCAATAAATAATTTGCATAAATAGTTAAAGAGAAGTGCTTGATACTGTCATCCTCAATTTGAAATATGTTATTCTTAATGTAACTATTTATTTCATAGACTAGGCAACATGGATAAAACTGATCTACCTGATTTGTGAAAAGCTGGAGTTTGCATTGCAATACATGTACCATTAAACAGGGATTCTATTTATTGAAATCTCTTTTCTCTCAAGATGAAGCACATGCTTTATACAGGTTTTTATGAAATTGATAAAATCTGATTTTCAGTTTATTCTGATAAATCACTTTTTACAACTCTCTGAATTATTTCTTTACTATGATAGACTAACACATGTGGGGAACATCTAACATTCCTAAACAGCCTCATCTGACAGCTAACACTGGTGACATTGTAGTTCTGTTACTGTCGTAGTCATTCAACTCATCAGTCTATCTTCTGTCTGGTAATTAATTAGACTGGCCTCATCAGACCTTTTATCTAGGATTTCTTATTTCCTTACTTTCCTGAATTCAATAATTGTGTTTGGGAGCATGACTTTTTTTCTTCAAAATAATAAGAGCTACAGCTGGTTTTGTTTAAAGTTTAATAGCTGTGTCTGGAGACCGGTGTATTGTTAGCAGTGTTTATCAAAAAAGAACTATGGTGCTTACCCTGTATCACTGTTTTATGCACACGGCAGTAGCATATAGACACATTTCAGTTTTTAATGCCAGTGATTGATGTAAACACGCTAGATTTATACATCGGTACATTTTACTTTCCATTCCATTCCAGGGCTAAGGTGTAAATTTCAAAACCTGTAGGAACTGGGGCTAGTGTTAGGCACTCTTCACTCTCCAGAGTTTTAGTATAAAAAATAATCCAAAGATACATATTTGCAAAATTTCCAAAATAATGATAAATCTTATGAGTTTTTAGTGCTGTTAAAACAAATGTGAAATGCACCTATTCTGAATAATAAACCATGTCAACATCCAGGTGCGCTTCGCGCCAGTGCTATAGGAGCTTTCATTCCACCTGATCACAGAACCTTTTCTATCTGACAGCCATTTAGAAAATTAACCTTATAGAAGATGTTCCCATACAAACGCTCAAGAGATCTTTGGTGTTCACAAACTTAGGAATTCAGAAGGGGCCATTTAGACAAAACAAACCATGTAACTTTGTAAAATGTTTGAGATAGTCATGTTCATTATTGTGTTTAGGCATCAGTTCTTGTTTATCTATCCATTAATATTAACTTGACAAAGGGTGGGGTGTGGTTATAAATTCCACACATCCTTTGGCAATATTCAGCAGTCAGGCTGGGTGGCCTTGTGGTTGGTCTGCGTCCTGACAATTTCAAACTGAAGTAAGCTTTATTTAATGTCATTATGTGTGCTCCACCTGAGCTGTTTGGCCATCAGAGCCACAAGGTGTTTAAACATTTCACATCCTGTCAGGTAGTATCCAGTAATATCCCCAGATCACTGCTACCATGAACATGTCATACTGGAAAGATTTTTGGCCAAACAAAATAACCTATCTGTATCCTGTAAGTGTAACATTCTAAAACGTTAAGGAGGATTGATCAAAAGATTTGTTTGCTTATCTTTTTGCAGAGCATATTTGTATCGATTCAAAATTTACTTGTATTATGAGCACATGTCAAATTATCCAATAACCATTAAGGTTATATGTTGGCACAAGAATCTAGTTTGTCGTGAGGTTACTGGAAACAGATATATTTTGATCTGGCCTTACTGAACTGACCTCGGATAAGAAGTTAGTTTTGCTGTTGTTGATCCTAGGGTGTACCTCTGTGTTACAGCACCAAGCAACAGAAGAGAAAGAACAGGACCAGTCAACACAGTCACTAGAACTTGGATTTCCTGATGACGATGACGACTCTCCTCAACCAGAAGGTCAGTAATATATCTAGACGTCTGAATTTGTATTTACTGTATATATAAACATGTTTATGAACATTTAAAAACAGAAACATCTTGATCTGTAAAGCATCAGCACTTTCATTATCAATCTTTAGAATGAGAACATAATACGTTTTATTATATACATGTATATTATATATGCATGCTTAATATAATGGAAAAGTGGGTGGGAAAAACACTTACAACATCAGAGCTATTGTCAATTATGTAGGCCAGTAAATGGGTATACAAGTGGCATTGTGAATCCACACGCCTACATAATAAGTAAGATTAATGATGGGGAACAAACCTTACTTACAATGGGAATTCTTTATACTAGATTCATTTCTATGATCAGACGTCTTCAGTCATTAGAAACTTGATATCATGATCGTTCGTTAGTAACGAGTCCGAACTACTTCTCACATTTTTCTTCCTGTTGAAAAACTAACATCTTAAACAAAGAGAAATATTTAAAAAATAATGCTTGATTATTATGTTTCAGTTCTTTCCCCCTCCCAACCCAGTGCAATGGCTCAGGCGGCCAGTGGGGGCTACGAAATCCCTGCTCGGTTACGCACCCTTCACAATCTAGTCATACAGTATGCGTCCCAGGGCCGGTATGAGGTGGCAGTGCCACTGTGTAAACAGGCCCTCGAGGACTTGGAAAAGACCAGTGGCCACGATCATCCAGATGTAGCCACAATGTTAAATATACTTGCACTTGTATACAGGTAAGTTACACAGAGGATTTTGATAACGTATATAAAGAACTTTGAAACTAAGAAGAAGTGTCATTTCAAACAATATTTTGAAAGTTGATTTCTCTTCTGATATATATGTGTAATTTGTAATAGTAATTCAAGTTTTAATTAAAACAGAATTGTTTCTATTTGAGATAATTTGAAGCTAATTGAAATACAGTACGTAGTGTAAGAAGTTATTTTGAGAAATAATTTATGAAACATATTACTGACATATTCTTTTGTGTTGTATTTATTCAAACACATATAAAATCCACTTACTGCACTGTTAGGATTTGCATGACCTAGATTTTATGTAGGAATCTGCACAACCACCACCCCAGTTGAAGACCAGTGTTGTCTGTAACCTCCTGGTCATTTTGGTATTGTGTGTTACTTGTTCACAGAGTTATCGTTGTACACCAGACATTGTTGGTATATTCTGCTTGTAGATTTGGTGTATGGTAGTATAAGATACTGCTACACATGTATGAGTATTATAATGTATGTCTTTATCCATCTAGAAAGCATTTTCCCTGTAGTACGCCACCAAAGCCCACATTTTAGAGAAGGAAGCAGTCTGCCTTGTACCTATTTACTATACAGTCGATTGCACAGAAGTTTAATAATATTAGTCCACATTTTAGAGCAGGAAGCAGTCTGCCTTGTACCTATTTACTATACAGTCGATTACACAGAAGTTTAATGATATTAGTCCACATTTTAGAGAAGGAAGCAGCCTGCCTTGTACCTATTTACTATACAGTCGATTACACAGAAGTTTAATAATATTAGTCCACATTTTAGAGAAGGAAGCAGTCTGCCTTGTCCCTATTTACTATACAGTCGATTACACAGAAGTTTAATAATATTAGGCCACATTTTAGAGAAGGAAGCAGTCTGCCTTGTACCTTTTTACTATACAGTCGATTACACAGAAGTTTAATGATATTAGTCCACATTTTAGAGAAGGAAGCAGTCTGCCTTGTACCTTTTTACTATACAGTCGATTACACAGAAGTTTAATAATATTAGTCCACATTTTAGAGCAGGAAGCAGTCTGCCTTGTACCTATTTACTATACAGTCGATTGCACAGAAGTTTAATAATATTAGTCCACATTTTAGAGCAGGAAGCAGTCTGCCTTGTACCTATTTACTATACAGTCGATTGCACAGAAGTTTAATAATATTAGTCCACATTTTAGAGAAGGAAGCAGTCTATGTTGTACCTGTTTCTTATACAGTCAATGATACAGAAGTTTGATAATATTAGTCCTTGTCAAGTTTAGACAGTGTTTTTTCATTGTCATTTAAGTCACACAACTAGTTAAATCAAACAAAACAAGTAATATATATATAGGTCCCTGTTCTTACATTATGTCCGACCTTGTCCAGAAACGTAAAGGTAAAAAATGGTTACATAGAACGTAAATCCATACAATAATTATTACATAGCTCTCTATCATTGTTCAGAAGTGTCAAACCTGCATCAAATTTGGTAGACATTGACACTAAATCTGTCAATATGAGTAAGGAACATATTTTATACACCACCATAACTAGTGTATATAGTTAGTCATCAGGAGAAAATCTGTCTCAAGGTATTGCTGGTACAGAGGTATAAAAAGGACATTCTTCTGAGACTTAATCTTGAATATTGTCATGTTATGTATCGCTTATGGCTTCCAGCTGGTGACATTTGATGATTTGTTTAAAAATGTAGAGAAAGTGTATTGATATTGACTGTATATCTGTCTGCCAGGGCAGTACTATGATAACCCCCTGGCTGACAGGAGGTGACAGATGTTAGCCTTGTTTTCTATAGCCACACCAAACACATTTAATGAAAATCAAATTGGTCACTTGAAAAGACTAATCACAAATTCAATTAGAAAGACTGGGCTCGAGTTTACCCCTCCTCGCTGTCGTTCTTCATTGTGTAGTTCCCATGCATGTGCACTGCATGTCAATTTTATCGTTCCAGAGATCAAGGCAAATACAAAGAAGCGGGTAATCTATTACATGATGCATTAAAAATCAGAGAAAAAACACTGGGCTCTGATCACCCTGCAGTGAGTCTAGTTTGTGCCCTCCTCCCGACCCTGCAACATCTCTTGTGCTACCAGTGTGCATGTTTTAACACCATGGTTTTGAAGTACATCACAAAATTTTAAATAAACATTTTCTAGCTTGGTGAACTGGCCACATGATAAAGTTTATTGTTTCCTGAATTCTAGTCGTGATACCTGTACTTCAAAACCATTTTTTCAGAATTTGCTAAATTTGAACCCCAAATTTCTAAACAAGACTTCAGTTTTCAGTTCAATTTATAACGTAAATACTTCAGAAAAGTATCTGTTAAGAACTAGTGTGGTTCAGATTTGGCGGACTATGATAATGCTGTTGGCAGCAGTCCGGCTTGGACTAAGGCACTAACACTAGACTTAATACTAACCCTAAGGTAGATCTGTAAGGATGTTTTAACAATTTCAGAGACCAAGGAAAATACAAAGAGGCGGCAAACCTACTGAACGATGCCTTAGGCATCCGAGAGAAAACCCTGGGATATGACCACCCTGCAGTGAGTCTATACATCATAGCCGTTCATGTTGTCACTGCATGCAGATTGGAAAATATCCCATATCATTTATTTTTATTTAAGTTTTTTTTAATATCATTTAACTTTCTGTCACAGTTTGTCTTGTCTTATTGAAACATGTGTAAATGTAGATAGTCTTGACTATCTTTTTTAACTATACTCAGAACATTTTTTGATTGTTTTATTTTTTCACTTCAAAAACTCAAAAATGAACAGGAACAACGGACATATTTGTTGGACTGAATACATTGGTTTGATGCTTAGCATATTAATGTTTGCTTTTGGTATAATGAACTCTCATTTCTGTTTTCTTTTAATCAAGTTACATGTTTGGTTTGGTTTCTGTGTGTTTATAGTGTAGATTGTGTGCCAAATATTTGGTTTCTGTGTGTATTGTAGTTTATGTGCAAACATATTTGGTTTCTGTGTGTTTATAGTGAGATTATGTGTCAAGTATTTGGTCTCTGTGTGTGTATAGTAGATTGTGTGTCATGTTTTACTGTTTCTGTGTGTATTGTAGATTGTGTGTCATGTTTTACTGTTTCTGTGTGTATTGTAGATTGTGTGTCGTGTTTTTACTGTTTCTGTGTGTATAGTAGTTTGTGTGTTGAGTTGCATTAACCTTCATACATGTATGTTCAATCATAGACTTATTTCAGTGTGCATATCATTTTGTATTTCACCTGTTTTAAGTCCATGCTCTAGTGTTAATCTTCAGAAGGCATAATCCCATACCTACCAGATCTGTTTTATAAATGGAATCTCCCACTTTTTACTCTATCTGACGACCTGCTTCCTCCCCAGCCAACCTCCCTACTTTACCACTTTCTGAGTGCTTGCCGCCCACCCTCCCTCGCTCTCACACACAATTGAAACTTGTTTTAAGAACAAGACCATAACACCATTTATTCTCCAAGAATCACCCATTCCTCCAAAACAGACACATTTTGTCCTTTTTCTAAGAAGTAGGCCCAACTAAAAAAGTTTACCTTCTGTTTAAGTAGTTGATTCTCTATCCAACTTGAGCCTTATTTAAACTATTCCACTGTCTGACTTGACCCCGAACTTGGGCTCTGCCTCACTTAAGGACTTGGCCTTCTGTCTAACTACGGTTGACCCGCTAAGGACTTGGCCCTCTGTCTGACTTGACCCGCTAAGGACTTGGCCCACTTGCTGTCTTGACCCACTAAGGACGTGGCCCTGTCTGTCTTGACCCACTAAGGTCTTGGCCCTGTCTGACTTAGCCCCCTAATGACTTGCCCCCCCTGTGTAAGGACTTTAGCCTTAAGAGTTAACCATTTATTCTCTAAGAATCACCCATTCCTCCAAAACAGACACATTTTGTCCTTTTTCTAAGAAGTAGGCCCAACTAAAAAAGTTTACCTTCTGTTTAAGCAGTTGATTCTCTATCCAACTTGAGCCTTATTTAAACTATTCAACTGTCTGACTTGGCCCCGAACTTGGGCTCTGCGTCACTTAAGGACTTGGCCTTCTGTCTAAATACGGTTGACCCGCTAAGGACTTAGCCCTCTGTCTGACTGGACCCACTAAGGACTTTGCCCACTGTCTGACTTGCCCCACTAAGGACTTCGCCCTGTCTGACTTGGCCCCGAACTTGGGCTCTGCCTCACTTAAGGACCTGGCCTTCCGTCTAACTACGGTTGACCCGCTAAGGACTTAGCCCTCTGTCTGACTGGACCCACTAAGGACTTTGCCCTCTGTCTGACTTAGCACACTAAGGACTTGGCGGTCTGTCTGACTTGACCCAATAAGGACTTGGCCCTTTGTCTGACTTGACCCCCTAAGGACTTGCCCCTCTGTCTGACTTATCCCACTAATGACTTGTCCCACTAAGGACTTGCCCCTCTGTCTGGCTTCCCCCACTAAGCACTTGGCCCTGTCTGCCTTGACCCACTAAGGCCTTGGCCCCCTGTCTGGCTTGACCCACTAAGGCCTTGGCCCCCTGTCTGACTTGAGCCACTAAGGACTTGGCGGTCTGTCTGACTTGACCAACTAAGGACATGGCCCTGTCTGACTTTACCCACTCAGGACTTGGCCCTCTCTGACTTGACCCACTATGTACTTAGCCCTGTCTGACTTAGCCCCCTAATGACTTGCCCCCCCTGTGTAAGGACTTTAGCCTTAAGAGTTAACCATTTATTCTCTAAGAATCACCCATTCCTCCAAAACAGACGCATTTTGTCCTTTTTCTAAGAAGTAGGCCCAACTAAAAAAGTTTACCTTCTGTTTAAGTAGTTGATTCTCTATCCAACGTGAGCCTTATTTAAACTATTCAACTGTCTGCCTTGACCCACTAAGGGCTTGGCCCTCTGTCTGGCTTGACCCACTAAGGTCTTGGCCCCCTGTCTGGCTTGACCCGCTAAGGACTTGGCCCTCTGTTTGACTTGACCCACTATGGACTTGTCTCTCTGTCTGACTTGACCCACTAAGGACTTGGCCCTGTCTGACTTAGCCCGCTAATGACTTGACCCCCCTGTGTAAGGACTTTAGCCTTAAGAGTTAGCAAAAGTAGAATCTGTCCAATCCTTTACCACAAGAGGCAGCAGTCTTGTCAAAATAAGGTATAATGTCAATGTGCCATCATTTACTGATTTATTATGTGAAGATTAATATTGGTAGAACTGTTGTAGTATAATATTATGAAGTAAAACTTTTGAATTATGTGAACATTTCTTTTGTTGTAAGTAGGGTTCAATGTCTTAGTATTTATAAGAATAGATTGATTCTGATAAACTATTGTTAATTGTTGAATTTGTGTATATTACTTTGGTTGCACAAGATAGGGAACAGTGAATGAGTTAAGATAAATGTTTTTTGAGCATTGATTGCATGTTGATTAACACATGAAATACTGATCACAATGTATTGTTTCTAAAACATATCATGCTTTTTCTGAAGAAGTCTTTCGAAATGTCTTTAGATCTTTATTCATTCTCACATAGCATAATTGCTTCATTGTTACATTTGTAACCTAATTGCTTTATCCTTACCAGTACATCCTAAACATAATTGTGACAGTATATGTACTGTATGTTAATCAACTTATCACCAGTTACAAAATGAGGAAAGTCACCTATATATTAATATATATTATATAGAATATTTTCAACTGAACCTATATAAGCAACTTGTTGCGATGTTATAATGGGGGTATGTACTTATGTGTGTTAGCAAGCTATCGTCAGTGATCTCGAACTGTATTTTAACTTTCATTAACACATGAATTTTTGTACTTTGTAGGTAGCGGCCACATTGAACAACTTAGCTGTATTATATGGAAAGCGAGGCAAATACAAAGAAGCAGAGCCCCTCTGTAAGAGGGCACTTGAAATTAGGGAAAAGGTGAAAAGCTAAACAATTAACAGAAGAATTTAATTAGTTGTTTTCTAATTATAATCAGTGGTTTAAAAGGAATTGAAGTAAATTTTACAATACCTTTTAGATACATGGATTTACCCAATATCTGTTTGTTCAGCAGGAGAAAAAAGTGAGGTGAAAATGAAATGTTTAAAATTCTGTTTATCTTAACATAGATATTTATGTTAACGGCTGTACTAAGCATGACAGTCAAAATTACATGAGATTTTACATAAAAGGAGTTTATTTTACTTAATGGAAGTTCATCTCAAAATCTTGACTGCACCAAGAAGCTTTAACTCGGCCTGTCACGAGTGGTTGCGATGTAATCAATGACTGGTGTGTTTGGCTGTAGGGGCTGTAGACACGGCGCAGATATTGATTTACTGGCATGCTGCAGTAACTATCTGGTAGATTTGTTTTATACTGTCTAGACACACTGCAGCAAACCTCACAGGTAGACTCCGCATCACCTAAATCCATGCCACTATTTGTCGGCAAAACAAGGAAACTAAATATTTTTGTCCTTTTGGATTTGTTCAGTTACAAGTCACTAGATTGTTCGTAATTGAGATTAATAAATGCTATTGAATTTTATTTCAGGTACTTGGGAAAGACCATCCAGATGTAGCCAAGCAACTTAATAACTTAGCTCTATTGTGTCAAAATCAAGGCAAATATGAAGAGGTAGGTAAATCAATAACTAGAAAACTGAAGAATTGGTGAGGCATTTCTCTTAGTGATAAAGTTACTATGTATGTGTTTCAGTCTTGAGTACATTTAAAATAAAAAGTAAATACCTGATTTATATGTATGGACATGAAGTTGATGTTGTAGCGACTTTTTATGTTGATATTCGTATTTTAGCAATGATATGAAATTGTCTGTGATGATAAAGAAAGCGATCTATAAATGTTCAATTTCACCAACGTAGAGCTGATTTAAGTATTATGTGTAGTGTCATCGTATGTATATACATGTTTGAGTCTCCCTTTCTCCATGCTCACACTGTCCCAGGTGGAACAGTACTACCAAAGGGCCCTGGATATTTACGAAGGTAAACTGGGCCCCGACGACCCAAATGTCGCTAAGACAAAGAATAATTTGGTAAGAGATCATGATTCCTCCAAGCCTGTTGCAATGGTCAGCATGGAGTCTCTCTGGATGTTGTAGTCTTACTGTTTTTGGTGTATTTTCTGTCCTCCATTTTGTATGCGCTGCTTATTTACATCTTCTCATGTTGTATCGTTTGCCTGTGTCTTCTGTTCCAGAGAAATGGAAAGCAGGCAAAAGACATTGCCTGTTTAATTTATTTTCTTTGCAGTGAAACTTTTTATACATTGTATCTATTTCTCAGAAAGTTGGCTCTGGGCTCATGTGTGATTATTGAAAAGAAAAGAAAGAATTTAAATGTTTATTTTACGGAAACATCATCATGGAATTGATGTATCAATAACGGTACCTCAGAAACTATGGTAGACCATCTTGTATCTTGTATAGAATGTCAGATTTCAGAGTTACTAAGGTACATGTTTTTGTGCCGTGTCAAAAATATAAAACATTTTCACACTATTGATGTCATAATATGTGTATTAAGACCAAAGTTCTTTGGAATGACATAGACAAAAGTTATGGGACATTTAGTCCAGCACCATTTGGAGGGTTAAACCCAGGGCCAAATATCCCTAGCTGCCCCCCATCAACCACACAGGCCTGTGTCTTTGAAATGGGTTTGCATAATTGCAGAGGAAAAAAATTCAAAAAATTCAAAACTAAAATGGGAAAAAACATAGTCCAAAACTATAACATTCTTCAACTTTCCTATAGACTTTCTGAGAACTAGTTGTACAGTGTATCTCCCTGGTTTGATTGATGCCTTGATCTGCTTCTGGTGTTGATGTACAGATAATGCATGCTTGTCTGACTCTGGTCTTGTGTACTTGCTTGTAATTTGCAGGTGGAACACTATTATAGAAGAGCATTAGATATATATCTGAAACGGCTTGGCACAGACGATCCTAATGTAGCCAAAACCAAAAATAATCTGGTAAGGTGTGGGCTGGTGAGAAGGCTGTAGTATGCATTCACAGAGCTTTGTTTATTGACTGTTTGAATTTAAATGTTTTACTTCACTGTCTAGGGGAAAATGTTTCACGAGATTTGTAATGATGCAAAAGTATCACAGTTCAGAACCGTTGTAATCTTAATTTCAGTAAAAATAAAGTGTTTATGATAATGGTACAAGTTTTATCAGATAATATGAAATAAAAGCTGTTTATTTATTTAGTGTATTTTGAAGGATATTATGGAGGCAATTTCTAATGTTATGTTTATGAAATACATTGTCAAAAAATGAAAACAATGTACTTATATTGATAGAAGTCATATTCAAATAATTAAATATTGAAAGGTGTAAAAAAAATCCATATTCTTCCATGTACCATTTTACATTGTTCTTGTTTTGCACATTTGATGTCAGCTACTGGTCAGGATAGGTTGTCAATATGCATGTGCTGTCTTCCCCTTTGTGTTCTTTTTCATTTCTCTGTTATTATTTTATGTTATAGATTCATATACATTTGCTTTATCCTGGATATTCTTAGTTGTGTACTCATGTAATATCTAGATTCAGTAATCATTGTCTTTCTTTATTTTGTAATCATTGATTATCAAGATTTTTTGGAATCAAAAAAGACCATGCTACAAAAAAGCATGAGACTATTTCAAACAAGAACGTATGTGTACACCAGACAAACAAGTTGCTGTTATCAGTAGTCTGTTTTCAACAGGAGATACATGGAGATGGCACTCAATCATTGTAATCTTTGTTTATGGACAGTGAATACCATATATAGTTACATAAAGTTCATATAGTTACAAAATACTGTTGTACATTAGAATGATACATTGAATTCAGCAATTTTTCTTGTTTATTAAATCAAAGAAGACAACATTTTCCTATTTCGAACCACAATAATTATTGTAACACCTTTGAAATATAATGAATGATGTTTCACTCGGACAATCATTTTTGTAAAAACAAATGGTAAAATTGTCAATTTTCTATTAAAGGCGTCTGCATACTTAAAACAAGGAAAATACAAACAGGCCGAAGCTTTGTATAAGGAGGTCCTCACCAGAGCACACGAAAAAGAGTTTGGTAAAGTTGATGGTAAGTTTACCTGGGCTTTTTAACCTGCTTATGTCTAATACAAGTAAGCTTGTCAGCTGTACAATAGAAACTTGTTAGTCTTGATTAAACAGTCTCATAGACTAATTCATGGTTTCTCAAGTTAAAAATCATGCTTCAATAATGAGTAAATTTAGATTGAAATATGATTTTGAATCCAAAATGTCCATATTGACTATCAAGGCTCTCACTTTATTGTATTGTTTACACAGCTGTGTAGAGTGATAAGTGAAAGTAGCAAATCTTTTACTGTTCCAAGTATAACCTAGAGTTCCCCCCATTTACATATAATCAGAATTTGTCTAATCATTTTGTATTAGCTTGGTTGTAATCTTGTGCTTTTGCTGTATTCAGATATACATATAGTGGAAGAAGTATATTAAATTGTTGTAGTTTATCTAAATCAAGCTGAACAACAGCCTTTAACTAGAGGAATCATACCTATTTTACTAGTAATGTTATATATGCTGAATGGTGATTGTGTGCTGTATTACAGGGGAGAACAAACCTATCTGGATGCAGGCTGAGGAGAGAGAGGAAAATAAGGTAAACAGACATTAGAGCCAGCCAGCATGTAAACTGTGTGTGGCCTGTGTGTGACACCCTGTAATGTAGGTAGCAGTAGTAAACAAGGGAGATAATCCGTGTATTAGGTGGTGGATAACAGGTGTAGGGAATCACTTATAGCTTCATAAAACAGCTGTGCTTGGTGGTAAGATTTTAATGACTCTAGTGCTACATGTTATTGTGGTAGGAAATTCTGCTGTACACTTGGAAAATACTGAAAATTCCCACACTGTTCAGAAGTTATAGGTTTTATAAAAAGGAAGAAATACAAAAAAGTTTACTTCTTTTTTTTGTGAAGATTGATTGTACAACTAAGGGATACACAATATTTAAATCTAGAAATATTCTTATCTTAGCCTTATCTCAACATCTGAAATAGCTCAATACTAAAATCTTTAAACAATTATTGTGTATGAAAGCGTGATTATTTCTTTAATCTATTAAAAATTGCCTTGATTTATTGGCAATTTTAAGTGAAGATAAACACTTTAAAACCAATTCTGTAATGAACTATCATGTGAGTCAGTATGATTGTTGTTATTGTTATTTCAATGTCACATACTGAGAGACCACAATGTTTTCTATAATTTATGTAACCGTAACATATACTTGTAATCCAACATTTTTTAAAACGATGTGAGTGCTAACACTGATACTTAACATACCCTATATATAATCTCTCTTACCAGGTGAAAAAGGTATGTGTTGGGATACTTTTAGTTGGTGCTGGTAGACAGTCGCCTTGCATTTTAATTAGAAGGAATTCCTTGCAATCCCAAATATTCTATCTAGTTCTGAAATCTTGAATCCTGAAGTCCTGGTTCCAGTATAAAGCATTTCCACCATTCCTCTATATACACGTCTCTTTTTCAATTCTCACTTCCATGTTCATTAAGTCGGTAAAAAGAATTTAATATTACTGATTCTGTCAAGTAATTCTACTGTAAGATATCAAAATATTCTGTTTTACCGTGATGTTTTTCTTCCTTTTCAAATTTGTGTATTGATACCAAATAAGAGTGAATCCTAAAATAAGTTGAGAGAGGAATGAAGTATTGGAAATATTGATTCATTATTTATCAAAATAAGAGAAAAATACATTATCATCCTAACTCAGGGTCAGCAGGCTAGTACTTGGTGTCTTGGTAAGGAATCTAGGGGTTCAAGATATATTATGTAAGAAGAGGCTAATATCTGACAGGCCACATTGAAAATGATACAAATTAGAAAAATCTAGCAGTACACTGATAAACGTTATATCTAAAAAGGTTCCAGTTAGCCACATTTCAATTTAAGGGTTGAGGAAAAATTGGGGTTTTGTGTTGTGTATTTAGATAACCCTAAACAGACTTGTTTTTGTTGTGGCTTATCACCAGAGCCTGTGTCTTTACACCTGATTATTATACGTGTACCTAATGTCTTTACACCCTATTATTATAGGTGTACCTAATGTCTTTACACCCGATTATTATAGGTGTACCTAATGTCTTTACACCCGATTATTTTAGGTGTACCTAATGTCTTTACACCCGATTATTTAATGTGTACCTAATGTCTTTAAACCCGATTATTATAGGTGTACCTAATGTCTTTACACCCTATTATTATAGGTGTACCTAATGTCTTTACACCCGATTATTTTAGGTGTACCTAAGGTCTTTACACCCAATTATTTTAGGTGTACCTAATGTCTTTACACCCAATTATTTTAGGTGTACCTAATGTCTTTACACCTGATTATCATAGGTGTACCTGATCTCTTTACACCTGGTTATTATAGGTGTACCTGATGTCTTTACACCTGGTTATTATAGGTGTACCTGACCCCTTTACACCTGATTATTATAGGTGTACCTAATGTCTTTACACCCGATTATTTTAGGTGTACCTAATGTCTTTACACCCGATTATTATAGGTGTACCTGATGTCTTTACACCTGATAATTGTAGGTGTACCAAATGTCTTTATTTCTGATTATTATAGGTGTACCTAATGGCTTTACACCTGATTATTATAGGTGTACCTAATGTCTTTACACCCGATTATTTTAGGTGTACCTAATGTCTTTACACCCGATTATTATAGGTGTACCTGATGTCTTTACACCTGTTAATTGTAGGTGTACCAAATGTCTTTATTTCTGATTATTATAGGTGTACCTAATGGCTTTACACCTGATTATTATAGGTGTACCTAATGTCTTTACACCCGATCATTATAGGTATACCTAATGTCTTTACACCTGATTATTATAGGTTTACCTAATGNACCTAATGTCTTTACACCCGATCATTATAGGTGTACCTAATGTCTTTACACCCGATTATTATAGGTTTACCTAATGGCTTTACACCTGATTATTATAGGTGTACCTAATGTCTTTACACCCGATTATTATAGGTGTACCTAATGTCTTTACACCCGATAATTATAGGTGTACCTGATGTCTTTACACCTGTTTATTGTAGGTGTACCAAATGTCTTTATTTCTGATTATTATAGGTGTACCTAATGGCTTTACACCTGATTATTATATGTGTACCTAATGTCTTTACACCCGATTATTTTAGGTGTACCTAATGTCTTTACACCCGATCATTATAGGTGTACCTAATGTCTTAATACCCGATTATTTTAGGTGTACCTAATGTCTTTACACCCGATAATTATAGGTGTACCTAATGTCTTTACACCCGATTATTATAGGTTTACCTGATTTCTTTTCACCCAATTATTATAGGTGTGCCTAATGGCTTTACACCTGATTATTAAAGGTGTACCTAATATCTTTACACCCGATTATTATAGGTGTACCTAATGTCTTTACACCCTATTATTATAGGTGTACCTAATGTCTTTACACCCAATTATTATAGGTGTACCTAATGTCTTTACATCTGATTATTATAGGTGTACCTGATCTCTTTATACCTGATTATTGTAGGTGTACCTAATGTCTTTACACACGATTATTATAGGTGTACCTAATGTCTTTACACCTGGTTATTATAGGTGTACCTGATCTCTTTACACCTGGTTATTAAAGGTGTACCTGATCTCTTTACACCTGGTTATTATAGGTGTACCTGATGTCTTTACACCTGCTTATTATAGGTGTACCTGACCCCTTTACACCTGATTATTATAGGTGTACCTGACCCCTTTACACCTGATTATTATAGGTGTACCTGATCTCTTTACACCTGGTTATTAAAGGTGTACCTGATCTCTTTACACCTGGTTATTATAGGTGTACCTGATCTCTTTACACCTAGTTATCATAGGTGTACCTGATCTCTTTACACCTGGTTAGTGTAGGTGTACCTGATCTCTTTACACCTGATTATTATAGGTGTACCTGATCTCTTTATACCTGATTGTTATAGGTGTACTTGATCTCTTCACACCTGATTGTTATAGGTGTACCTGATCTCTTTACACCTGCAGGTTATTATAGGTGTACCTGATCTCTTTACACCTGGTTATTAAAGGTGTACCTGATCTCTTTACACCTGGTTAGTGTAGATGTACCTGATCTCTTTACACCTGATTATTATAGGTGTACCTGATCTCTTTACACCTGCAGGCTATTATAGGTGTACCTGACCCCTGACCCCTTTACACCTGATTATTATAGGTGTACCTGATCTCTTTAAACCTGGTTATTATAGGTGTACCTAATCTCTTTACACCTGGTTATTATAGGTGTACCTGATCTCTTTAAACCTGGTTATTATAGGTTTACCTGATCTCTTTACACCTGGTTATTATAGGTGTACCTGATGTCTTTACACCTGGTTTTTACCTGTACAGCAATGGCATGACCTATACACTAACACCTGGTTTATTACTCTACCTTATTTCTGTGATGCCTAACTCCACAAGCTTATGGCTATGAGGCCTTATAATATTCCTTTTTTTTTTTTGCTGCTGATATTATGCCAAGCTGTTGATTCACGGAATGAATTCATACTGACAGTTTTTATTATAGTACACATGATGGCTCTGAAACCACCAAATTTATTATACCAGGAAAGTATTATGAAAATGATCATCAGAATGATTTGACACAGTAAAATACAATATTCTTTTACAAGCATAAATTAAAAATACTCTGACATAAAATATTAAGGCAACTTCAGCATTGAGTATAATGCTGACTTACGGTGGTATTAGAACTACAGTAGGTGTATCCTTCACCGCAAATGGGATTATTATGCTTCAATGTTCACGAGATTAACATCAAACATAAGTGAACTAATTTGCTATAGCATGTTATGCCTACACAATCAGGAGGCTGTATTCCTATGTTAGCTTGGACCACAGCAATTCACAAACATTTCTTTATGCTAAGTATTCAGACCAGGACATACATTGTGCATGCTATTGTACATGATATATATGTATTGATATACATACTGGATCCAAGGCATAGCTGTTAGCCTTATGTCAAATACTTAAAAGTTTTACTTTCATTACAATTTTAGAAAAAGGTTTTAATTGAGAAAACATTCATAGTATAATAAAAATGTGTTTTCATGACAAATTTGTAATTTCACCCTCATGTGATTGTCATGTTTTGTTAAATTATGATGAATATAAATCAATTTGTAAATTGATATGTGGGGGTGATTCAACCTTTTCCTTTACACAGAAAAATAAATGATTGATTTATTGTTTCAGGGTAAATACAAAGATGGTACCCCCATGCCAGAATATGGAGGTTGGCACAAAGCTGCTAAAGTAGACAGGTAAGAAACACCATCTTGGTTATTGACAGGTAAGAACCACAATCTAGGTTGTTCACTTTATTGAAGGTTTCTATTAAACTCTTCTTTGATTTAGTACATTTCATACAAGTACCAGGATTTATTGTGAACCTCATTATTCTACCTTCGATATATTTTCTATTGTCATACCTTTTTGAAATAATAAAAATTTGTTTTATATGTCACAAATGGCTGACATTGAAGGCATTGTTACTCGATGCTAATGGACGGTAAATATCGCTGTGATTCGTCCAAACATGGTACTTAAATGTTGTTGTTTAGATTTCTTTAAAAATCCTGAAGTATGACAAGAATCTGCTCCTAACTTGATGCTTAATGATATTTGTTCATCCATGTAACAGGGATAAACAGATTGGTAATTATATATAATCTACCTGATATTCAAGGTGAACATTGGCCGATACAAGATATATGGGACAGTGCACAAAAAGAAAAGCATGCTTACTTTCAGAACATCATTTTCAATAGTAAAAGATAATAACTCCGATATGTGAACATTCTACCCCCAGCCCCACAGTGACGACGACCTTGAAGAACCTTGGTGCCCTCTATAGAAGACAGGGAAAGTATGAGGCCGCGGAGACACTAGAAGAGTGTGCCATGAGGTCCAAGAGAAATGTGAGTGTTTTATCATTGCATGCTCTGCGTACTCGCTGTATATCCCAAACCTTTCATACTCGGACAATTCAACCACTGGAAGTCACATCGGCGAATTTATTTGTGAGTGTCTGTTATAGATATTTTATGTAGTATGAGATTGTTCTACTGTTAAATATATATTATTGTTTTTTAGAAATTTTTGTTTTGGGGGGAAATTGTCACTGAAGATAATAATAATTATCTTGAAACATTATTTTACCAGATTGAACTTCTTTATCATGTCTTTCCTTGTTGAACTTAATTTGATGACGGGTATATCTGATTGAGGATGTGACTTCCAACAGGTGTTTGATTTAGTGTAGACCTATATTGTAGTAATATAAGAAGGGACCACAGGTGAGAGACTATATCTATAATACCCTGTATGGTCCTCACAGGACTCCTTAATCCTGTCGCCGGTGCCCCTACAGCGGGCCCTGGATAAACACAACTATGTAAGTACGGTAGACCAGGACACGCTAGCTGCCTGTGTGCAGACTGGCGTGTATCACTGCAGCCTGGAACTTACCTCATCCAAAAAGACTGGAAAGGCTATGGGTCTGGTAGCTAATGGCTTTGGATTTGTGTGGCTATCTAAAACAGCAGGCGTCGTAGGATCACTGCTTGTAGGAAGTTTTCTGTACAGCTTTAATCACACCACCCATCCTGAACAGGACATTGGGTGTTTCATTTGCACCCATATAAAATTAAAGTCAGTAACTTATGTGTTAACAAATATGTGACAAGGCAAGGCAAGGCTGAGCAAGTGACACAGAAGAAACTACATATACCAAGTAAGGAATGAAATCTCAGTTTGGACGTTTTCCTTTCAAAATCTATTTTTACATCTAAAATGATGATTCAGCCTGTACTGCGTTATATTTTTTCTATGTATCAGTCGATATGTTTATATTACAACTCCCCCCCCCCCCCCCCCCCCCCCAGAAGATTTTTTTTTAGTTGAAAGTTTTAAGTTACTTCTGTAAGTTTTTGCCCCTGTCTGGCTTTGACGCGGCTTGTTTTGGTTTTACGCTAGGCTCTGGATGTAGTTAAACAGACCAAAATAGCCGAAGTTCTAGGCAGTGACTATAAGGAACACCCACCAAACAATCAGGTCCAGGGGTATAGACGTCGCTCTAACAGCAGGGACCGAATTCCCCGTCGGGACCCCGTGGATAGCATTGATAATGGTGATGGTGAAGATGTGAGTATAGGTCTTTGATGGTCAGGGAGGGGCTCCGAGTAGGGCCATTTATCAAGTAATTCACAGCCAATGTCCTTTGTGAAATAGGCCTCCAACATGATGGATTCTTTAAACAATGAAGTACTAAATGCTTGGGCAATTTTACTAACTGTAACATGCTTCAATGACTATTCAAATTAACAAATTAACATGGGACTCTAAAATTTTTATGATTTTTTTTCAAAATTGTGCTATTTTGAAAAATGAAAATACAACAAGTTGGAACTATTTCCCATTTGCTTCGCTAATAATTCTAGAGTAATTGTGGGTCATATTCTCTGTAGTCAGTGTTCTGTTGTAAAACTGGAAACTTATTGATGACATATACCGTTATGTCCATCTATTGGCTCACTCCCATCTTTGTCTGTTCCTGTACTCCCTGTGGAATGATAACTTGGTAGTGGGCTTCCATCTCTAGTTTACCCTAGCTTTACCTTGCTTGGCAGAATGCCCATCAACTGCAACAGTACAAATACTGCCTTTATCTTCTTGCAGTTTCCTTAGCTTTTTTTTTGCTACATGGTAGTATTTTTTTATTTATTTTTTAAAGATATGGTGTTTAGGGATATTTTATGTTGATCTTGTCTGATAAAATTTGTCCATACTTTAATTAACGAGAACTTCAACATTTTTGAAAATTGAAGAAAATGTATTGAGAGTTTTGGGAAGGGGGCAAGGTGGCATTTATAATCAATATTACAATGAATGGTAGATCAAAAAGAACAAAATATTTATCCATTAGGCCCCAAGTAAAAATAAATTGGATGGTGTGAGTCACAAAAACAGTGCTTTCTTACCCCTTTTCATATATTTATTTCTATAATATAGTCCCTTGGGAGTCTTCAGACGACTGAACACTTGTTCACTTTAACAATTGACAAGACCATTNGGGGGGGGGAATGTTTTTTATATAGAAATCTTTAAGATATTCACAATGATGGGTAGTGCTACTAATTACTACAATTACTGTGATGATAATAAGCATGCACGTTTGGGAATGGGATTTGCATGAGGAATAGATGGGGGGAAAATATGCTTATATCTTACCAATTTTCTATAATCATTTCTTCATAGTTTTAGTAAATCTGCTTGCTAAAATATAAATCATTTTTAAGGATTTATTCAGTAGATTAGATTTAATATGTCAAGAAAATGGCTGAACATGGCTGTGTATTACTTGCCTCCAACTGACCAAGGACCAAACACGGTTTTGACTGACCAGCTTTAGCCCCTATCTCTAGTAGACTGACCCCTGTTTTTGCACTTTCCTCTAATCCCTACACCTGCCACAGTAGCTAACCTGTATGGCTTCACTTCCCCATCCTCATCAAGCACTTTGAAGACTTTGATAAGATCACCATCAGCATCACCTGAACAGACTGCATACATGTTGGTTACTTTCAGTGCAAGACACTTAAAAAATGTTAATACACTGATGGTTTGATTTCAGCTGCATCAAATTCAAATAGATTTGTGAATGAAAATTCTGGTCACAGTTTGTTTCATTGGAATGCTAGTATGGAGGAATGTACCTGTAGCAGTATTGACATGGAGGCTTACAAGTTTGTTTGAAATTGGCTGATTTATTTATAAGACTTGTATTGCTGTAAAATCTGTTTTTGAAGTTAAATGCTGATGGTAGTCTGGAATTACCTGTGTTGTAATGTTTCTTTAATTTCTTCCGTAACTAAATGAGATTTGCGATAGAGAATGTTTAGTGGGTATGGTCCTGTCTGTATAGTCCAGCTGTGCACTAACACCCTGCAGGCTTCCTTGCATGACCGTCCTTTTGTTTTCTAACAGAATCGTCAGTGTTGTTGGTAAAATAAAAGTCTAGAATGTGTAGTAACTGCCAATGAATGAAATATCTCGCTATTTACCGTGTTAGTCGACAAGTCTCCACACTGACTCCTTACATGTCATGTATAAGTTCTAATAATTTTGTTTTATTTCTGTTTTGATTTTCAAACGGCATCCTTCACTTTGATGTAAGTTTCAATATTTTTTCCTTTTTTTCTCTCTCAAACTGCCACCAAGACATCATTAACCATTTGATTTCCTATTAAATCTTATTTTGGTAATGGTAGTGTAGTTCAAATTTTCTATTAAACTTTGACTTGGCTCAAATGCAAATTAAAACAAATCTGATTAGCATTTTGAACTAATACAAAAAATGTGTAGAACTGTTCAGAACATTTCATACAAATGTATGTCTGGACTTGTACACAAAGTTTTGATGTCTTGTAGACGTTAATCTTGTTTTGGAACAGATTACGGTTGTATGCAAGAACTATTTCTACAATAGGACATACAAATTGTTAAAGAAACCTTGGGAGCAGTGTTTTCTGTTCTTAAATCTCCTTTGGGTGAAAGGGATAAAATGAGTTTTAATTTGATAAAACCTCTGAATTTGATTTTTAAAAATCTGGTGAAACATTTTATCGGTATAAAAGAATCATAACTAAATACGGTAAGAAATGAAATGAAAACTCAGTAGAACTATTCCAGTCCTGGTAGTCAGTTGTGATGCCATTTCTGTAAAACTGACCTGTTTAAAATTTCCTCTCAAGGGGAAATTAAAGCGCAGTGGCTCATTTTCCAAACTGAGAGCTTCCATAAGACGAAGCAGTGCCAAATTGGTGCAGAAATTGAAAGGAAAAGGTCCAGGGGAAGAAAATTCTGGCAGGTAAGCGACTTTGTTACCACCTCTTCACTTGGAGGAAGTGCATTCTCACACAACTCCGTGGGTGTCGATGCAAACCTGGGCCGCTAAAATGTCTCTTGGTAATAGAAACTATGCCTAGCCTTGCCTTGCTTATATTATAGGTAGTATGTTTTCCTGGTGTATGTGTACTTTGTCTATGAGATGACATAGTATGTATGCAGTAAGACCTCGGTTGAGGATGTGGTTTTTACCTTATAAGACTTATGTACTGCTGAGGGTGTGGTCTTTACCTTGTAAGACATATGTACTGTTGAGGGTGTGGGATTGCTATATACCAACTAATGTTGTAATCTGCTAGTTTTAAACCAGGCAGTACATTGTACCAGTTTATTTTGGTGTGAGGTTTCTGTTTCATATTTAAATATATATTGATGTTTGTTGTAAACAGGTTCATTAGCACAACAAGTCAGATGTAACTGTGACCTGTTATGACTGCTATGTTACTATAACCTTTATCAGACAAATGACAAATGTATCAACCTGAATGTGCAATTGATTCACCTTCTGTTTATGTGTATGTATGCTTAAATGTTAACAATGTAAGAAATGACAATCAAATAGACAAATCCATGTCGCTATGCTAAATCTAGGACCTTGCCATAGATGTACAAGAGCCTTCGTTTCAGTTGAGTACTAGCCCCCTGTGGTGTGTCCAGATAGCTTCCTTTATCTGCTGTTTAAACAGGTTGCTTTCTCTGTCAAACACTGTAGAATTTTCCCGATCAATAACCTGAATTTGCTGTGTGACGTGATCCGTGAGTGCCAGATTATTGATCATGGACTGCTTTACATGTGATGACTTCAAAACACATTGTAGGGTGATTTCTCTCCCAATGGTGGGGAGATTTTTTTCGGGCACTCTTGTACAAAAATCATAACATGCAATTTGATCTTGCATTGAGCAATATTCATAAATTCAGACTTTTTCATATGATTCCCTTTGATTGCTTGCTTTCTGAACAGAGGAAGCCGAAAGATTGGTGTTTATATGCACATTTCCAGTAATGTAAGAACTTCTGATACATTTCAATATCACAACCAATTGCAGGATAAATCTTGATTCTTACTGGGAGGTTGTTTTTTTATGTAAAAATATATCTTTTCCAGTGATTTTCTTTTCGTCTTGTCTTTCTGGTGTTCGCCAAAGTCAGATCACAAACCGCTTTCCAGTATTCTGAATTTCTGACACATGATGTGTCTCAGTTCCTGCATCCATTTTTGCACGCGTATGCTGCAATAAGGTGTTTAATCCTTAGTGTGTACTAGGATATTGTAGGTTTTGTCGGCTTTCAGATACTGGCATGTGTGTATCTTTATCCTTCATACCAATACCGTCGTTACTTCTTCATCTTTCTTTATGAGAAAAGTTTCATGGAATGGCATGATGCCATCATTTGTTCCCCATATGTGAACTACACTCAGTTTTGGACAATAAGGTGTTGATATGTGTAATCAGACCTCCTTTGACCCTTTTTTGGTTATCACCATTGTGTCATCAGTATATTGTTTCCAATAATAGCTTGGCTCTATAAGAGCAACAGCTATTGCTTCTTGCTCCAGATGTTCCACTATTGGCCACTATAGGTGACACTGGACTGCCCATAGCTGTGCCAAAGCATTGCAGATAGATGGCATCTGGTAAGCTGAAACATGTTGTCAGCACCAATTTTAGCAAATCCATGACTTGCAGCAGGACCTGTCAAACTCCAGCACCTAACACCCAATTGTATATATGGTTATAGCGCAGCCAAATCGATTTGTCAGTTTGTTGGTCATCACTCACATTTTCAACATCTTGGTGTACATACACACTAAACTCATCATTTGTCTGACGAAGGCGACAGCACATATCGTACTAGTCATTGAATTGCCGCACAGAAACATTTCTTAAGTGTTATAAGACCCTGTATACCGTACATATTTACCAACCCGTAAAAAAATGTATAAAATTTTATTTAATGTATACCAGTAAGTTGTAAAGAGCTGGGACACTACGATGTCAGGCTTTGGTTTCATGAATCACCTGATCAAAGACTTCAGATTTTTTTATAGGGAAAATATTTGACGAAAAAACTTTTAAGTTCAGGAACATTCGTAAAACCAGGGCCTGGTTGTTGGTTTTTCATATGGATTTGGTCTGTAGTTTTTTTAACCAATGTTTTCTTTCTATGTCATATTCACTACATAACTGATCTTATTAATGTAACCAGTACAATGTATATGTACATAATTATTGCCTAACGTTTTATGTTAAAAGTGTCTAACACCCTACCAATATGTGATTAACATGAGATTTTCACATACAAAATAGTCAGACATATTTACATACATCACTATTAGTAGCAAGGCAAGGAGTAGATTCTTTGTTTCTTATTGCTTGTTCTTTCATTTCTTTCTTTCTTTCTTTCTTACTTTGAGTTTTGATTACTATTTATTTAGATCTTTATGAAAATCTCCTTTTTTGCTTGTTTTACTTGGTTTTCTTCCCTGCTACAGTTGGTATGACACACCCATACCTCACTACTGGAATTCGTCTAGGTCAAGGTTTGTGTCTTGCCTCATAATCATAATCTTTCCACACCAGACCCACCTCATTAGCATAATCCTTCCACAATCGAACCCATCTCATTAGCATAATCTTTCAGACATGCCTCATTAGCATAATCCTTTCATGCCAAACCACCACATAAGTTTACAAATTTCATGATTGCACTGCAAAAATGATCAAATTAATATTGACAAAGTTCTCTGTTTCAAGGCAAGAATGGCGTAAATCTCATATAAAACTTGTTTATCACAGACTGCAAGGGTATACAAAAACAGTTCTGTGCAGTAAAACATGTGTAAAATAAACCCCTGGTGACAGAATTAATTTGTTTCTAGGGTAAACATATTTTATAACAAACCAAAAGCGGAAAACTTAACATTATAAAACTGGTTTACAATGAACTCAACGGGACCTAAGATGTAAAGTAAAACATGTTAATTGATCCCAGGGGATCTACATAATTTGTTTGTAACAAACCTCCGAGGACTTACGAAATAAGTTCGCTACATTCAAGCATGTTTATGCAAAAAGGAGCTGAAAAACAAGTTAACTGTAGTGAAACATGCTTATAACAAACCCTATGGTACTTACAGATGTTCCAACCATAAAAGTATACAGCTTCCAACCTTTAACCTTCACCGACCTTCCAACCATAAACCTCCACTAACCTTCCAACTATTACCCTAAAGAGACCTTTCAGCTATAAAGCTACATAGACTTTCAAACCGTAAAACTGCCCACACCTTCCAATCATAACCCTACACAGCTTCAAATACTAATCCTACATAGAACCTGCAACCATAAATCTGCACAGACCTTCCAACCATAAACCTACACAGACCTTCCAACCATAAATCTGCACAGACCTTTCAACCATAAACCTGCACAGACCTTCCAACCATAAATCTGCACAGACCTTCCAACCATAAACCTACACAGACCTTCCAACCATAAATCTGCACAGACTTTCCTACCATATACCTACACTGATTCAAAAACTCATCCTCTATAAAACTTGCAACCATATACTTACTTGGACCTTCCAACTATAAACCCATGCAGGACTTCCAACCATAAACCCATGTAGGACTTCCAACCATAAACCCATGTAGGACTTCTAACCATAAACCCATGCAGGACTTCCAACCATAAATATATGCACAGCATTCAACCCTAAACCTTTACAAACCTTCCAACCATAACATTAAATAGACCTTACAACCAACAAACTACTCGACTTCAGACCATAACTTACACAGAGCTAACCTTCCAACTATTGAACTATTCAGCATCTATGTAAAACCAGCAGAGCTCGCTGCCATGAACATAAACAGAACTTCTCAAAGTTAAAGTCTTTAATGAGAATTGTCATTTCTATGTTTTTCAGTTTCTGTATATATTGTTTTGATCGGCAAGATTGAGATTTAACTAATATCAATGTCTAGATTAACTGGGTTTAAGCTGGTCTTTTGGCATTTGTGCTTATTTTAACTTCAGGAAAATGATATGACATAGTGATACAAGATTATGAAATAATGATGTTTTATATTATGTACCTGTATAGTTCTGTGCAGGCACTGGTACTGTATCGTAACATATAACTAGATGTTAACTAGTAACTAGCCATTCCGGTATTACTACAAGTAGAAAACTTGTATACCATCATGCAATAATGTACTTTAATTTTGAAAAATGGCAACTACCATAAAATACTCTTGAGATTTTTGTAGCATCAGATCTTTATCATGAGACTCTCAGTTAATTTATTATTGTAAGACAGCTGTAACCATATGTATGGTTAATTTTGGGAAAAAAACATGTAAATGTATTCTCCCTTAAGGATGTACTCTTCTGAGGTTGGTTAATTTTGGGAAAAAAACATGTAAATGTATTCTCCCTTAAGGATGTACTCTTCTGAGGTTTCAGTCACGTTCAAGTCTCGTTTTGATCTGGTGTAACAGGTTTTAGTAATATTTAACAAATTATGATAGGTTTAATAGCAAACACACATCTGAAAAACATGTCAAAAAACTAGATGTCTGTTGTGTGTAGAACATTTTTTACAAGAATTTGAAAAAATTGACCAATTTGGCGGCCATTTTCAAAAAGTGTATTTATGTGAATTTCTTGCGCTTCACAAAGGGCAAAATTTCACCTTTTTTTACACTAGATTGATCACTTAAATTGTCATTGTGTCACCATTTTTAAATGTAGCAGGTTCAATCTTGCTGTACAACTTTATAATGTTCAATATGATTAAAATAATATGCAAAAAAGTGGAAAGTTATATATTATTGGTATTTTTTTTTTACATATTAGGGTAACTGAAGCACTTGATTTTTGACCCCGAAAAAGGTGAAAAATAACACAAATAATAATGGGACAAAAAAAGAAGCACACCATTTTTGTGGCTGTTTTAGTAAGAGAAACACATTTTCTTTTGATTCATTGAATACTAAAAAAAGTTTAATACAGGAATTTTTTATATCAAGCGTTAAATCTGCAAAAAATGGTGAAAAAATGTGCATTTTTTCATTAAAAAAAAGGGTTGGGGGTAACTAAAATCGCATTTCTGAGTAAAATTGATAAAATTAATAAATTTCACTTCCATAATTTAAAAGAAAATAATATTTTTATCAATTCTACAAACATTCATACTTATCTGATAACACACTTGGAAGAAATTGTATGAATTTGTTCTGCAAATGGTCAAAACCCGAAAATTCACCTAAAATCACCTATTGTGTTAAATTGGTATCTTTGACCGATCATAGCACAAAAACGAACACACAGACATATATTTTTTTTGCATTTTCTACTATGCCATTATCTCCTTTTTCATAAAATCAATATAAGAAAAAAAGTTTAATACAGGAAATTTTTGACTTCTCAGAGGTGTACATCCTTAAGAATATTTCTGTTCATGGTGATATTTTAATGCCCTGTTGTAAAATATGATACAGGATGATCTTCAATGCAATTATATATATGTTGTCAATATATGACTGTAATAAATATGTCTGTGCATGTTGATGTGTGTATAGTACGTCGCAGATAAAACCTGTCCTTTTTGTGATGTGGCAGAAATAAATGTACCATGATCATTGCTGTTGAATATATGATACACAGGAAGGGCTACAAACACTGCAGCCCTGCCATCTGATGTCTGTTGTAGTTTATAGAATACAACCAATGTGGTGTATGGCAGCAGAAATGTAGAATCCTGAATTTATATTACAGCTTTTTCATACACTCCAATTCAGACTTAGCCTGTGTTTAATAATGGAAGCGTTGCCAATAAGAATCATGATACAGGTCTTGAAATAAAAAGAAGAAATTTTTAGTGATGTATTGTTTTCCAGATTCACTATTGTTTTGAATTTTAGTTGAATATGAAATGGTTTGTTGAATATTGTTTAACTTGTAAGAGTATATATAAGTTGTAGTAATAGCCTTGTGTTTAAAGCTCTTTTGGAAGTTAATGTTGATTGTACAGTGAATTTGTTAAAATAATAGACAGTTATTCATCAGGACAAGAATGCAAAGAAAGAACTTTCATGATAAAAGGAACCAAACGCCAAGAAAAACACATTGGCTGGACCAAGAAGGTTCTGTTGTACAATTATACAGTAGAATGGCTGGACAAACCAGGTCCCACTTAAAAAAAGTAGTAAGAATGTTTTGAGCTTCACTCATGATTATATTTTTGTGTTGCCGAGTTATGTCATTTGATATCGGTATGTAATGTTGTCCCATCTTATATTTTTCAGTATGAAAAGGGCAAGCTCCTTGTCGGTTCTCAACAGCTTAAATAGTAGCAGAGATGATAAACTGAGTGTAAGTCTGTACCCATTGTATCTAGTCTGTACCCATTGTGTCAAGTCTGTACCCATTGTATCAAGTCTGTACCCATTGTATCAAGTCTGTACCCCTTGTATCTAGTCTACCCATTGTATCAAGTCTGTACCCATTGTATCAAGTATGTCCTCCTTGTATCTAGTCTGTACCCATTGTATCAAGTCTGTACCCATTGTGTCAAGTCTGTACCCATTGTGTCAATTCTGTACCCATTATATCTAGTCTGTCCCCATTGTATCAAGTCTGTACCCATTGTATCAAGTCTGTCCTCCTTGTATCTAGTCCGTACCCATTGTATCAAGTCTGTACCCATTGTGTCAAGTCTGTACCCATTGTGTCAATTCTGTACCCATTATATCTAGTCTGTCCCCATTGTATCAAGTCTGTACCCATTGTATCAAGTCTGTCCCCGTTGTATCAAGTCTGTCCCCCTTGTATCTAGTCTGTACCCATTGTATCAAGTCTACGCACTGTATCAAGTCAGTCCCCCTTGTATCTAGTCTGTCCCCATTGTATCAAGTCTACCCACTGTATCAAGTCAGTCCCCCTTGTATCTAGTCTGTACCCATTGTATCTAGTCTGTACCCATTGTGTCAAGTCTGTACCCATTGTGTCAATTCTGTACCCATTATATCTAGTCTGTACCCATTGTATCAAGTCTGTCCCCCTTGTATCAAGTCTGTCCCCATTGTATCAAGTCTGTCCCCCTTGTGTCTAGTCTGTACCCATTGTATCAAGTCTGTACCCATCGTATCTAGTCTGTACCCATTGTATCAAGTCTACGCACTGTATCAAGTCAGTCCCCCTTGTATCTACTTAAATAGTAGCAGAGATGATAAACTGAGTGTAAGTCTGTCCCCATTGTATCTAGTCTGTACCCATTGTATCAAGTCTGTCCCCATTGTATCAAGTCTGTACCCATTGTATCAAGTATGTCCTCCTTGTATCTAGTCTGTACCCATTGTATCAAGTCTACGCACTGTATCAAGTCAGTCCCCCTTGTATCTACTTAAATAGTAGCAGAGATGATAAACTGAGTGTAAGTTTGTACCCATTGTATCTAGTCTGTACCCATTGTATCAAGGCTGTACCCATTGTATCTAGTCTGTACCCATTGTGTCAAGTCTGTACCCATTGTGTCAATTCTGTACCCATTATATCTAGTCTGTACCCATTGTATCAAGTCTTGTACCCATTGTATCAAGTCTACCCACTGTATCAAGTCAGTCCCTCTTGTATCAAGTCTGTCCCATTGTATCTAGTCTGTACCCATTGTATCTAGTCTGTACCGATTGTATCAAGTCTGTACCAATTGTATAAAGTCTGTCCTCCTTGTATCAAGTCTGTCCTCCTTGTATCTATCCCGTACCCATTGTATCATGTCTGTACCCATTGCATCTATCTAGTCTGTACTCATTGTATCTAGTCTGTCCCCATTGTATCAGGTCTGTCCCCCTTGTATCTAGGCTGTTCCCCTTGTATCAAGTCTGTTCCCATTGTTTCAAGTCTACCCATTGTATCAAGTCATTCCTCCTTGTATCTAGTCCGGACCCATTGTATCAAGTATGTCCTCCTTGTATCTATCCCGTACCCATTGTATCATGTCTGTCCCATTGTATCTAGGCTGTAGCCATTGTATCTAGTCTGTACCTATTGTATCTAGTCTGTAGCCATTGTATCAAGTATGTCCTCCTTGTATCTATCCCGTACCCATTTTATCAAGTCTGTCTTCTTGTATCTAGTCTGTACCTATTGTATCTAGTCTGTAGCCATTGTATCAAGTATATACCCATTGCATCTATCTAGTCTGTACCCAATGTATCAAGTCTGTACCATTGTATGTAGTCTGTACCCATTGTACCAAGTCTACCCACTGTATCAAGTCTGTACCCCTTGTATCTAGTCTAGACCCCTTGTATCAAGTCTGTACCCCCTTGTATCTAGTCCGTACCCATTGTATCAGGTCTGTCCCCCTTGTATCTAGTCGGTACCCATTGTATCAAGACTGTACACATTGTATCTAGTCTGTACTCATTGTATCAAGTCTGTACCAATTGTATCAAGTATGTACCCATTGAATCTAGTCTGTCCCCCTTGTATCCAGTCTGTCCCCCTTGTATCTATACCGTACCCATTGTATCATGTCTGTACCCATTGCATCTATCTAGTCTGTACCGATTGTATCAAGTCTGTCCCATCGTATCTAGTCTGTACCCCTTGTATAAAGTCAACCCACTGTATAAAGTCAGTCCCCCTTGTGTCTAGTCTGTACCCAGTGTATCAAGTCTGTACCAATTGTATAAAGTCTGTCCTCCTTGTATCTAGTCCGGACCCATTGTATCAAGTATGTCCTCCTTGTATCTATACCTTCCCCATTGTATCAAGTCTGTCACCCTTGTATCTAGTCTGTCCCGATTGTATCAAGTCTGTACCCCTTGTATCAAGTCAACCCACTGTATCAAGTCAGTCCCCCTTGTATCTAGTCTGTACCGATTGTATCAAGTCTGTACCCATTGTATCAAGTCTGTACCCATTGTATCTAGTCTGTACCCATTGGATCTAGTCTGTACCCATTGTATAAAGTCTGTACCCCTTGTATCTAGTCTTTACCTCTTGTATCAAGTCTGTCCCCCTTGTATCTAGTCTGTACCCATTGTATCAAGTCTGTCCCCGTTGTATCAAGTCTGTCCCCCTTGTATCTAGTTTGTACCCATTGTAGCAAGTATGTACCCATTAAATTGTGTCAAGTCTGTACCCATTGTATCAAGTCTGTCCCCGTTGTATCAAGTCTGTCCCCCTTGTATCTAGTCTGTACCCATTGTAGCAAGTATGTACCCATTAAATTGTGTCAAGTCTGTACCCATTGTGTCAAGTCTGTACCCATTATATCTAGTCTGTACCCTTGTGTCAGGTCTGTCCCCATTGTATCTAGTCCATACCCATTGTATCAAGTCTGTACCCATTGTATCAAGTCTGTACCCATTGTGTCAAGTCTGTACCCATTGTGTCAATTCTGTACCCATTATATCTAGTCTGTACCCATTGTATCAAGTCTGTCCCCCTTGTATCTAGTCTGTACCCATTGTATCTAGTCTGTCCCCATTGTATCTAGTCTGTCCCCATTGTATCTAGTCTGTCCCCCTTGTATCTAGTCTGTCCCCCTTGTATCTAGTCTGTCCCCCTGTACCCATTGTATCTAGTCTGTACCCATTGTATCAAGTCTGTCCCTATCTAGTCTGTACCCATTGTATCAAGTCTGTCCCTATCTAGTCTGTACCCATTGTATCAAGTCTGTCCCCCTTGTATCTAGTCTGTCCCCCTTGTATCTAGTCTGTCCCCATTGTATCAAGTCTGTACCCATTGTATCAAGTCTGTCCTCCTTGTATCTATACCGCACCCATTGTATCAAGTCTGTCTTCTTGTATCTAGTCTGTACACATTGTATCTAGTCTGTACCCATTGTATCTAGTCTGTCCCCCTTGGTATCTAGTCTGTACCCATTGTATCAAGTCTGTCCCTATTGTATCTAGTCTGTACCCATTGTAACAAGTCTGTCCTCCTTGTATCTATACCGTACCCATTGTATCAAGTCTGTCTTCTGGTATCTAGTCTGTACCCATTGTATCTAGTCTGTCCCCATTGTATCAAGTCTGTACCCATTGTATCAAGTCCTCCTTGTATCTAGTCCGTACCCATTGTATCAAGTCTGTCCCCCTTGTATCTAGTCTGTCCCCCTTGTATCAAGTCTGTACCCATTGTATCAAGTCTGTACCCCCTTGTATCTAGTCTGTACCCCTTGTATCAAGTCTGTTCCCATTGTATCTAGTCTGTCCCCCTGGTATCAAGTCTGTACCCATTGTATCAAGTCTGTCCTCCTTGTATCTAGTCCGTACCCATTGTATCAAGTCTGTCCCCCTTGTATCTAGTCCGTACCCATTGTATCAAGTCTGTCCCCCTTGTATTTAGTCCGTACCCATTGTATCAAGTCTGTTCCCATTGTATCAAGTCTGTACCCATTGTATCAAGTCCCCCTTGTATCAAGTCTGTACCCATTGTATCATGTCTGTCCTCCTTGTATCAAGTCTGTCCTCCTTGTATCAAGTCTGTACCCATTGTATCAAGTCTGTCCTCCTTGTATCAAGTCTGTCCTCCTTGTATCTAGTCTGTACCCATTGTATCAAGTCTGTCCCCCTTGTTAACTCACCTGGACCAAGGTGAGCTTATGCCATACCGTGGCGTTCGTCGTCCGTCCGTCCGTCCGTATGTCCGTACGTCAACAATTTCTTTAAACGACTTCTTCTTCTTAACCACTGGTTGGAATTAAACTAAATTTGACTAGAAGCATCCCTAGGTGGTGGGGATTCAAAATTGTACAAATGGTGGGGCTGACTCCCCAGGGGGCTTAGGGGCGGAGCCAAAAGGGGGCAATTTGGCTATATTGCCGCAAACGACTTCTTCTGTAGAACTGTGCACTGGATATCAATCATATTTGATCAAAAGCATTCCTGGGAGGCAGGGATTTAAAATTGTACAAATGGTGTGGCTGACCCCCCAGGGGGCTGACGGGCAGGGCCAAAAAGGGTATTTGGCTATACTGCTTTAAGCGACTTCTTCTCTGGAACTAAGAAGTGGATATCAACCATATTTGACTGGAA